ATTACTGTAAATTTGTCAGCTACTGAAGGAGTATAAAGCAGTGGCTTTAATAAATAATGTTACATGGCCGTCTTAGTTCAAGAAAATAATTTAACTGATTATAGGATACATGGACTAGGCTAGTATAGCATATTGAGAACCTGTTCAGAAATTGCGTTTTAATGAATTGTATTTTACAAAAATGTACTTATTTTAAAATTTTTCATTTAATTTTTTTGATAGCGCATTGACTTTAATAAATGCCACATGTTGTAAGGCCATCTCTTGTTTTGATCCATTTATATGCTAGAAATTTTGAGATATTTTTATTTTGAAATGTAAAATGTTTAAATCATTAGCTTGCAGCAGTGTTATACTGTAAAACCAAACAAACAGTATTATACTGTATTGCTTATATTCAATACAGCACATTACTGTAATATTTTTTACAGTAATAAACTGTTGTTATTGATTACAGTAGTTACACTGTAAAATAACAGTTTCATGCTGGCAACTGTAGCTGCCAGTAATTTACTGTAATTTAACGACAAAATTTGTTACAGTGTGGGTATACTAGTTTTTACTTGATCTATCACCTGTATAACAATGGTTCATTGATATGTATTATCAAAACATGCGGGACCACTGCATGCATTGAATGCCAACACCAAAATGACAGTTTATCACAAAGGTGTCACTAAAGTCAAGGATAATGCACATTTTGAAGATTTTCACTTGCTTTTTTCTTTTCCATGTACAAACTGCATGGAGACACGAAGTCCTTTCCCTCTTACGCCATATGGTGTAATTTACACTGGGGCCCTGGGGACATGTCTCCACCACATTTTGAAATGGCTGATTTTGTCCCCATCACTTTTTAAAGCATTTGTTAAAATGTTCTGGAAAATAGTTTGCACAAAGAAAGGTTAACTAACAAATGAAAACACTTGGTTTATTCGCACAATAAGAAAGCATTCAATGCAATTTAAATATAGAAAAAATATAAGAAAGTAAAATATAAGAAACAAAAATGCATTGTCCAAAAAAAGTAACTTAAGCTAAAAAAAACAAGTTGCTGGTTACTGCATTGTATTCTGTTATATTTTTGAAATGTCACCTGCCAGCTAATTTTTTGATTCTTTTTATATAAATAGACATTTCCACCATAAACTGGAGCAGGAAATGTCTTCAGAATCCAGGAAATGAAGTATTTAATGCTCAAAATCTTCTGGGACCCCCAGACTCCTCACTCAAATGTTTCAGCATTTCATATTTCTTCAAAATAGTGTTACAAATCTTTTCATCTTGTTCTTGACCATCAAGTCTCGTGACATCGTGTATCATCACGTCCATAATCTGTGCATTTATGTCCCCACCACTTTTCAACACAAAGTGACGCCCTTGCTTCCAGGGCAACCTCCATGAGCCAGTTCATGAGCTTCCATTCCACAAAATGTTTTTTAATAGAGTTTCTTTTACAGAACTGTCTGAAAATCTGAAACACAATTTCATCTTATGCTAATTGTTTTCTGTCTAACTGTCATTCTGACTTGTCATAGTAGGAAGTGAAAGTGAGCCTGCATACATGTCATTTTATTTAAAGCAGCCAATGGTCTATATTCTGATCAATATGTAATGAAAATCAACAGACGTACAGAGACTTTAAACTCATTTGAAAAATGTAATCCATTCCAGCTGACATATTTTATTGTTGTTGTTAATGGGTTTACATGTATGGATTGTTTTGAAAACCCTTAAATGTGCTGTCTTCATATGACAGTGTTTGATGTCCTGCCATTCAAGATTTGAGAGCTGGATAGACATCAGTGCAATCACAGGCTAGAAAATCAATCAGACAAAAAAAGTGAATTTGGATGATGTGAAAATGAACATTTACAATTAACAGTTTACGTGACACTGAATCACAGAAAAGCACAATGTGAAGTCATCACTGCTGGTGTTGAAGTCATAAGATAAATACAGTATGTAAGATATGTCTGTTTTTTTAGGCCAGGCCTGCGGGCTACCAGAGATTCCTGAATCAGACATATGTAGACAGGGAGATGTTCACAAGACACAATTATGTCTTTTTTGGCTGCAGGACACTCAGTCAATACTCTGTTTGCCAAAGACAACTACAGTATTTTCCCACATTATGTAGACTGCTGTATATTGGGAATGGACTCATGCAAGAGATCAATTTCTTTCACTAATAAGCAGTGCTTGTCTTTGGTCTTGCTGCCCTGGGATGTGATCGGCTCTGTGGTGTGTTTGGGGGCTGGTTCTAGCCAGGGTTATGCTCATATTGCAGTCTTGGTGAACATAAAAGTAAACTGGGCCTCACCAAATCAAAAACGTTTGAGAAGATCTTGATCTGTCTGGTGCTGTTAGAAGGCTGAAGTCTCCTCTTGGGTTTAAAATCAGGACTGAAATCAGCGCGAGCCATAATCCCTACAGAGTGCTGGCCTCATTCCAGTGATTGATTCTCATTCAAGTGAATATTGATTGTCCCCATTTAGAGATTTTAAGCAGCCATTTGTAACAGTACCAGTCAGATAACCCCCTATCTCACTCTCTACATCTCTTCCTCCCCATTATGCTGTTACTCTTTAGTAGAAGGCTGTGGTGGTCACTTTAATGGTGTGGCTTTTTTTTATACAGTCATAAATTCATTAAAACATTTTATCTTGTAGCCTGTAACCTATCATGTGTTTTTCCAGTTAGATGGTTTTAATCTTCTTGTGTTTATTACACACATGGTTTCATCATATTACCTGTCATTTTCAAAATCCATTTTTTATTTCTCTGCTTCCAGCATTATCAGTTGTGGCAGAGCACTGTAGCCTAGAACATGTCAGCATTACAATGATAGATGAAGCTGCGAGCAGCAATTCACTGGGTCAAAGCAGTCCGGAAACACTGGAACATGAAAGAAAGATGACACAAAGGTTGAAGGTTAGGTTGGTGTATGAAAAGTGGTGCAAATTGGATTTTGTGCCTGGAACAGTGAGCTTAGTGCTGGTGAGATCTGCCAAGACTGAGGAAAAACATCCTGTACACTGAGTTGCAAGACTTTTAGGTATACATAATGTAATTCAGTACAACAGCCTTCAATAATTAAATCACTGGTGAGTGAGTGCAAATTTGATGGAGTGGGGTTGTGTTTTTGGCAGGAGATGGGGGCGATTGCTTACGGCTATCTGATTAGAGAACTTAATGACTTTCTTAATTAGGGTATTTGACATGCATTATATTTCATGGGTGTTTCTTACTTCTCTAGTAAGGTCGAAGATGGGCAGAGCTATGCTGAAAATGACATGATGTCACCAAACTATAGATAAGGTATTACCAACTAGTAATAATAACTAGATAATCAGTCTGTCCACTTCTTGAGAAGAGGTCTAATAAGGAAACATAAGTGAAAACACGTGGTGGGTGGACTATGTGCATACAGTAGGAGCTTTGACACTATGAATGCTTTGTCTTTTGGACGTGAGGCAAAATTATTGCAAAATAAGAGTGAGGAACAAACTGTCATGAAAGAAGTACTCAGTTTTTTTTTTACTAAAGTAAAAGTAGCCACACCAAGTATTAACATCAAAATATACTTACAAAAGGAAAAATACTACACTGACTCATTTCAGAATAATGTATTGTATATGAAGCCTATATGTGATGTGTTATATTGTATTATAATCATTGATGCTTTGGTGTGTGAATTAATTTAAATTTATTTATTTACTACTATACTAATAACTCATTATTTATTTGTTGATTATATTGTGTTATTTGTTTGAATCTGCAAATTTAATGTAGTTGAATTATAAAGTAGCATAAAATGGAAATACTCAGGTAAAGTGAAAAGTATATCAAAGCTGTAAAGTAGTAAATTTACTCAGTTAATTTCCACCATTGGGAACAAACAAACAAGGTGAATACTATACCCTTAACTGTCCCTCATTTGTATGAGCTCATACCCGAGTCTCAGATTAGTTTCACTACCCTGTAGCGACACCTAGTGGTTTATCAAAGTACTTTCTTTTTCTCGTTTGTTTTACAGGAGTATAACATGATGGCAACTGTAGCAACTGATGATCATCTATATTTCAGTCTCTGTTGTGACCTCCTTCAAACATTTGCTTTTAGACTAATAATTAACACACAAATAAACACTTGTGCATAAAAAGAAACATGTGCACTGTGGGTGGGGGAAGTCATGCTTAAGTGCCTTTTATTTTTAGTTTCCCAGTAAAACTTTGAACAACCAAAAACAACCAAAGAAAACCTTGGTAAACCTATTTAGAGGTCTTCCTGGATTACACTGCTGTTGAACGCTGTGTAAATGGACAAAAAATGTCCTCTGACACTCGATATCCTGTTTTTACTTACAGACAGATGTGTCAGAGTCAATGTGAGGGGACAACGAGAGGGCAAAAGCTTTTATAGGGTTAACATATAGAAACCTAATGTTATTCCAATGCAGAGGCAGCTACTCAGTTGTGTTTGAAAAATAGTATTTAAAAATACCTTAATTTTTACACCATTTGATACAACCTTTTTTTTTTGTTATAACAAACTACTTTAGTTTTGGAAAATTTTGGAATTGAATTGATGAAATTGAATTGAGTGGACTTTAACTGCAGTGAAGGGGTTTTTCTGTAATTCATTTTTTAAAAGGAACACCTGCTTCTTTACTTGGAGTATTTCCTTGTTGGTTGATCATTAACAACATTATTTGCTAAAAGGTTACATATTTTAACACATTGATTTTCTCACCCACAGTCATGTATCAGCAAGGTTCATTTGCGCATCCAGATTCACTTTCAAACACAACACCAAACACAATATTTGGTAATTTATTAGATAAACACACTCACTCTGTTTTCTCCCCTTCCCACACTCCCATATTTCCCACACTCTTTCACACACACACACACACACACACACACACACACACACACACACACACACACACACACACACACACACACACACACACACACACACACACACTCTTTCACACACACCTCCACTCAGGTACATAAGTATCTGTGCAGGTGCTTCTCAAAAAGGAGTGACTCCACCAACAGCTGTCTGGTAACCCTCTCAGCAAAATGTCTTCTGATTATATTGGATCCTCTTTAAGGAGCCATGCAAGGAACAACAATGCCACTGTTGCTCTTAACAATGCAGCAGATATCTCCGTTATTGTGATTTACTTTTTGGTTGTATTGGCTGTCGGAGTATGGGTGAGTTATTCAGTCTTTCAGCTGACCATTACTTAAATACTTTGTTTTCTTTAATCTAAGAAGTTTAAAGAAATTCTGTCTGCACTGAGCCATGAAAAAAAAACGTAGTAAAGATTTACATGTTGGAGAAGTGAAAATAATAAAAATTTTTGTGCACTTAAATGAAATGTAATTGAGTTGATTGATATTGTGTAATCACAGCATCTTTCTCAACAACCTGGTTCACATCACGTCGTTTTATAGCTTGGATTAATTTATGACCAGTAATGTTACTGGGATATTGTTGTGTTGCATGCAGTGATTTTGTGGTTTTATTTTTCTCTTTTTATCACTCTTGTAGCAGCTGTGTATATAAATTAAATGTAATCATTAACAAATACACAGTGGCTGCTGAAAAGGTGTGTGAGTCGTTTGTATGAATGCATTTATGGATTTTCTGAAGTGTGCCTTTCTCTTGTTGCAGGCTATGATCCGCACCAACCGATCCACTGTCGGTGGCTTCTTCCTTGCAGGCAGGAGTATGGTGTGGTGGCCGGTGGGTATCGTATTGCTCAGAATAAGACAGAGAGTCACTTTCATGCTTATTGAAATTAAGCTCTGTCTTAATCTTCCAATCTTACAGCAATAAGGGACATTATGGACATGCGGACATGCTGACATGCTGAAGTTTTTATTTTGTGCTAATAGGCATTCTCTAGAAGGCCCTGTATGCTCAGCCCCCCCCCCCCCCCACCAGTCCTAGGCCCCAGCCACTTTGTGTAAAATTTGTTTTATTAGAGTAATTAGGTGTGTAAATCATCTCATACTTAGTTATTATATTGACATACCATAAAAGACCATAATCAGCTGAAAAGTTGGAATCTGTTCACTGCCTTTCTTGTTATCAAATGCATTCCAAAAAAAAAGCTGTGAAGGTTTTAGAAATTAGGCATGCATATTATTTATAAATAAATACACTATGCACTCCTCAGATCGGAGCATCTCTCTTTGCCAGCAACATTGGCAGTGGCCACTTTGTAGGAATTTCTGGCACCGCTGCAGCTGCAGGACTAGCCATTGGTGGATTTGAATGGAATGTAAGTACATTAATCTGTGTCTGATGTGCCAATTATACCATTATTACTTCTCACATAAATGTGTTTCTAACCTGTCACACAGATAAGATCAGTTATCTCTGGCAGGTGAGCTTATAAGTCAATAGATTATAGTTATAGGAATCTATCTTTAAAGGGACATTTTGAGTAAATGGTGGCGTAGATTACGTGTTAGTTTTGTCTTTGTGTTTTTGTGTGTTTCAGGCTCTTATAGTGGTCGTCATTCTGGGATGGCTCTTTGTTCCCATCTACATAAAAGCTGGGGTAAACAAACCACACAGGCCACATGTTGGACATACAAAACCTCTTACTCTTTTTATATAATTATTTAACCTATCCTATCCTTTTATTATTTATTGCATTCAAGATGCAATAAATAGATACTTTTCTAGAAACCCCGGAGTAAAGTAATTAAAACATACACAAATAAAGTAATCTCATTTAATATGGATGTTTTTAGGTGGTTACAATGCCAGAGTACCTGAAGAAGAGATTTGGAGGACAGCGTATTCGCATCTATCTCTCTGTGCTGTCACTCTGCCTGTATGTTTTCACCAAGATCTCAGTAAGTCACTGTGACACCATATCTTAACCCTCAGTGATCAACATTGCACCAGTATTGTACATTATTGACTGAAATGATGGTTTTTTTCCTCTCCTCTCCACTCAGGCAGACATGTTCTCTGGGGCCATTTTTATCAACCAGGCTCTCGGGCTGAATATCTACCTTGCTGTTGTCATGCTACTATTGATTACTGCACTGTACACTGTCACAGGTCTGTCCCCTCAAGATACATTCACCTCCGTTTACACTGAACTCACAGATCAATCATAAAAGTCTTATCTATTTTTGAATGGCACAACAACCGGGGGGTCGAAGTCTTCTCAAGGAAACATGTAGACATGTAGACACATGCACACATACTCTCTCTCTTCCTGGATAGTTTATCTATGGTGTGTTATTGTGGTAAATTGCCCATGAAACTGCGATAAGCAGGAAATGGCCTTCTGTTGCTGTTTTGTAATAATGCGTCCACATGTGAAGTTTTACAGGATGAGCAGTGAAAGAGCCCTTACATAACACAGCTAAACACTGAATACCCAGATTGGGCGTGATGAATTGGATCATGTACAAAGTTACTTATTTGAGCTAATTCTCTTCAAAAAGTTCAGTTATGTGCATTAGTGATGAAAAATGTGTTAATTTTGGATAAATATGCGTAGATTGATAACATGACATATTGTATCGCAGGTGGATTGGCTGCAGTGATCTACACAGACACGTTACAGACCATCATTATGCTTGTTGGATCATTCATCCTAATGGCCTTTGGTAATATGGTATTTTCCTTCTTTATCCATATACTCATTTGCTTTTTTATGAGTTATTGTGACAAGACAAATCCTGATTGTGACATCAAATTGTCGAAGAGTAAAAAAGACTAAAGTAATTTAGTCTAACTTGCACTCATATCCTCAGCTTTCATTGAGGTGGGAGGTTATGAAAACTTAGAGAAGCTCTACATGGAGGCCGTCCCTTCTGTGACGGCAAACATCAGTTCAAGCTGCTACAAGCCTCGCCCAGACTCCTTTCATATCTTTAGAAACGCGATTACAGGAGACCTGCCATGGCCTGGCCTTGTGTTTGGACTCACCATTCAGGCCACTTGGTACTGGTGCACTGATCAGGTCAGTCAAGCAAATGGCACTTCCGGGCATGACCACTGTGATTGTGACATTACTTGTGCTGACTCAACGGCAGCTATTAGAAAAGACTAGCAACAATCCAAGGTCATAAAGACACACACAGACTCATTCAATTGATCCACACATTTGTACACACATTTATGCGCCTTTATCTTGCCTATTTTTGCAAGACTCGCTCAAGCGCTCTGAGGTGGCGTGCTGTAATAGGACAGTGACTAAGATAAGATTAACAGTCAGTCTAATGCTGGACCTTAGGGAAGAATGAGATACCTATTCCAGTGCTGACATCCAACACACATATAAACAAATTCTGTTTAACCAATTTATCCCTGTTCTGTTAGCACAGCAGAACACTTGAAATTGGCTTCTTTGGCTTAAGTTTTGCATTTACTCAAATATTTATTCTGATACTAAGAAATGTTTCGAGTTGACCTTGAAATGGAGAGAACCGTTGATTTTATCATGGCACTACTGATCTTTTTATATCTATTACTTTTCTGTAGGTGATTGTCCAGCGCTGCCTCTCCGCCAAAAATTTATCTCACGTTAAGGCAGGCTGTATCTTGTGTGGCTACCTGAAGCTGTTGCCAATGTTCCTCATGGTTTTTCCCGGCATGATCAGCAGGATACTCTATCCTGGTGAGTGTGTTGTAGCTCACTGGCTGAAAGTACTGTTGTAGCTTGTGCACATCTTACCGCAGACATAGTGGTGGGTTTAAATATTCTTAATATCCTGCTGATATTAGTCATTTTATTTTAGATGTGGTGGCATGTGTGGACCCAGTAAAATGTCAGGAATACTGTGGCGCCAGTGTGGGCTGCACCAACATCGCTTATCCCAAACTGGTTGTGGATCTCATGCCCAATGGTGGGTGGCTAAAGACCTTATGAGCTGAGAATGCAAACAATAGCCCTTATCTTCAAGGTATCTTCCCCCATTTAAATCTGTAATTCTATCTATTTCAGGTCTGCGTGGTCTTATGCTGTCCGTGATGCTGGCTTCTCTGATGAGCTCACTTACCTCTATCTTCAACAGTGCCAGTACTCTGTTCACCATGGACATCTACACTAAGGTTCGCCGCTCCGCCAGTGAGAAAGAACTCATGATTGCTGGCAGGTAAAACCCATGTTTGGGGTTCTGTTTGATATGATATCCGATTATGAGAATTCATTTGTGCCTCACTCCCACTATCTCCACATGTGTGTGTTTGTAATGTGTATAGAGTGTTTATCTTGATCCTGATTGGTGTGAGCATAGCATGGATCCCTGTGGTGCAGTCAGCCCAGAGCGGTCAGCTCTTTGATTACATCCAGTCCATCACCAGCTACCTCACACCACCCATTGCAGCTGTCTTCATGCTTGCCATCTTCTGCAAACGTGTCAATGAGCCTGTAAGTTTCCTCTTGAATAATCTCTACATTTAAAGGGTGTAGTTTTAAATGAAATCACTTATCAGCTAATCACTTTTTTATTGCCTATTTGTGAACGGATTGTAAACATGCCCTTTTGTACCATGTACGATTCTTCGAAATCGGGTTGGATTTTCTGCATGTGCGCTCCTGAGCCTCTTGCCTTCTGATTCTGAACCAAACACACAGCGACAACGCTGCAGCTAACGAAATGGAGTCTGCTAACACCAAACAATGACCGGCTCCCGGCATAACACAGACCCTAGCACAAACTCCACATAATGATAAAAAAACTGCTACAGGTGATCAGGCAAAAACACGGTCAACATTGTGAAGGCGTTCATGGAGAGACCTCCACTTTGTTTTGGATTACTATCCTGTGTATTATGTCTAAGTGCTTTCTCATGAGTTCAAACACATGCAGGAGGACACACGGGAACATAGTGGTTGCAATCTGAAACGTCACTGTTAGAGGCCACTGAAAACTAAACATGGCCCTTTTAAATGTGAAGTGCACTCTACCGCGCTTTTCATATAAACAAGTGTAAGAGTCTACAGCCATAAATGAGTTAACGTACTTCTACGTACTACATCAGGCTCACAATGACATACTGATGTTTAACAGGTATAACATTTACTGTGTTAACCATCTTAGATAATCATGATAGCATGCTAAAATGTGCTTATTAGCACAAAACACAAAGTGCAGTTGAGGCTGAACCAAAGTAATTTCTGGACAATATGGAATTTTGACCTGATGACGCTAGTTGAAAAGTCTGGGGATTTCCAAACTGATTACACTTTATCCTGAGGGGGACATGAATGTCTGTGCCAAATTTCATGCCAATTTCCATTTGGACCAAAGTGGTGGACCAGCTGACAGACCAACAGACATTGTATCATTGCAATCCCTAAAGCAATGCCACTAGCATAGATTAAATGGTGAAGTTAACTTTTTTGTGAGGTAAAATGCAGTTCGTTATAAATATCTGAAGTAAATACTGCTGAAATGTCATTGGTAACATTTCTTTTCACTGCTTTATTTTATTGTCTAACTGGATGTATTTTAACAATAAAGCTGTTGAATAGCATGGACATATGTTATGTGATCTGAAAAGGTAGGGCTGGGCTCTAAAGACTTGGACCCCCTGTTGACCCCTATCTTACTCTCATGATCGTCACATTAGCTTAGGCAAAACCCTGAAGTCATGCACGCCATCAGCTGATCAGTGATGGTTATCAACAGATTCATACAATCACCAGTCACATTCAAAATGGTCAGTGATGAGGGTTTTATAATCCGACAAACTCACTCTCACTCACGCTGCTGTTATCACTGTCTTAGCTCATCTCTCCAGCTTCCTCCTGCCCTGGTTTCTCGTTAATCATATTCCCATGACTTTGTTTTGCAATCTGCATTATGTATATTTGTAGTTGTAGATCTGTAGTTGATGCTCTGTTGATGCTTGTATGTTGTTCCTCAAATGTAAGTCGCTTTGGATAAAAACATCAAATGAGTAAATGTAATGTAAATGTAAATGTATATTTCATATCTCATGCGTCTGCTGGATGCCACTCCATTTACTCTTGTGGTGGTACTGTGGCACCAACAGAATCCATTACATGCCATTTGGAATTATTTGGGATGCATCCTCAAGAGCATAGCATTAAGTACAACCTTCTTACCATATTTTGCAAGAATGGATACAGTTTCCTTTTTTTACGTTTGGTCGGTTGGTCTGTCCACCACTTTGGTCCAGACTGAAATATAAGAGGGATGAAACGTCTTCTAGTATCTTCAACCAAGTCCAGTTGCCCTTGACTTTAACCTTCTTTTGGATATTGGATGGATTGCCATGAAATTTGGTTCAGACTCAACTGCACTTTATGTGTATTGCTAATTAGCAAATTTTCACTCTAACACATAGACTACACTAAGATGGCGAACATAGTAAACATCACAATGTTACACATATTAGCATTGTCACTGTGGTAATGTTGCCATGCTAGTGTTCCTATTACTTATTTTCCTGTTTCTTTCCTCAGGGTGCTTTTTATGGCCTCACAATCGGCCTGTGTATTGGCCTCTCCAGGATGATTGCTGAGTTTGCTTTTGGGACTGGCAGCTGTGTTAACCCCAGTAACTGTCCCACCATCATATGTGGGGTCCACTACCTCTACTTCTCCATTATCCTGTTTGTTATCTCCTGTATCATCATCCTGACAGTCTCTCTCATGACCAAACCCATCGACGACAAGCATGTACGTGACCACTGTGAGATAAGGCTGGATAAATCATTAATGTCCCAAACATGACTCACTCAGTGGAAGACACCGCAATGGCCAACTTTATAAATAATTACTTTTAACCCATGTGTTTTGTCGTTTGTCTAGTTGTATAGGCTGTGCTGGGGCCTAAGGAACTGTACTGAGGAAAGGGTGGACCTTGAACAGGATGATTGGGTTGAAAACAGAGATTCCAACTATATGGATGTAGAAGGTAATCAGCAGACGTATAGTGTCATAATATAAATGCATTCCTGCATGTTAACGCACACAAGCAGATTTTCTTCATCGCCTTTGTCTCTTCCTTCACAGAACCCGAGGAGGAGCCAGGCTTGTGCAAGAAGGCAGTGATGTGCTTCTGCGGCCTGGAGCATAAAAAAGCCCCCAAGCTGAGTGCAGAGGAGCAGGCAGAGCTGCAGAAGAAGCTCACAGACACCACGGAGGTGCCTCTATGGAGGAACGTTGTGAACGGCAACGCCATCATCCTTTTGTGTGTGGCTGTTTTCTGTCATGGTTTTTTCGCTTAAAGAAACTCGCATCACCTCAATTGCACTCGGATACTGTAATTTATATTAAAATGCCAGGATTTTTTTATGAATTTAATTTATGATCACATGAACTGTTCAGTAGTCCCCCATCCTTTATTATAAGATAATGAACTTGTACACCATTCTATAGTGTATTATTAGTACTATGTCGCAATATGTGTCGTATTTGGCTACTGAACTCCTCCAGGACATAAGGTATATTTTTGTAAAGTAGATGCCCGTCTAAAACTCTAAAAACATATCATAACTGTACACAGGTTGTATATAATCTTTAATTTCTGCTAACTTTGCCTTTTGGCAGCTGAATTTATAATAAATTAAATATTGCATAATAATAACATTATGCTGAAACACCCCCCCCCCGCACAGATGTAGGTCTTCCAGTGTTCGCTCACAGCTTTCTTCCTTGTCTTTAATGTTGCCTTTGTGATTTTAAGCATAATGAGAACGTTAGAGCAGTTCATGAATGGAGCTGCAGGGTGACTCATGCTCGTCTTCACCTGAAATTGACTTTCAAGTTTGCATGTAACGGACGAGAAAGTGAATTGACCCAGGTTCATTTTTATGTTTTTTAATTGCAAAGGAGGGATAAACAGAAACTTACTTGTAATACATTAAAGATGTGGGTATCTGAGGACAAGATAGAAGATTTTTAAATTCCTGGTAATTACTGTATTTGCTACCTCATTCTACCTAGGCCTTGTTTTTCTGTGCTCAAAGTCCATGAACGCTGTCACTTCTTAAATCTATACACCTTTTTGTATGTTGTTTTAGGTGTTAATGAATAAAAACATTTCAGTGAAGAAAGTTGTGAATTACACAGAGCACAGTCTGACTCTCTTTGCTTCCCTCTGGTGGTTCAGCATTGTTTCTGCTGTAACTGGTTTGTTGTTTGTTTTTATCATATATTTAATTTCTGGTCAAATCTGCTCATACTGAGGTTAATTATATCTTTAATGTACTAACCAAATGCTTAATGAGAAACCCATAATCCCTTTTAACATATTTACCATAAGTCTTGTGAGTCATTCCACATTTATAATCTAGCTCTTATCACCAACTCTGTGGTTAATGTCCTACACTTAGCAGTAATGCAGGCCTTGAATATGTGCGCTGCTGTTGAATGATTTATGAGTTCAGCCTTGGACTTGAATATTTTGTTCTCTGGAGTTTTATTTCTTTTATCCCTGCTTAATTATCCACCAGCTGCATATTACTTTATGTCTGCTTGAATCATACGTTTGACAGTGATTCTGCTGGCCCGCGTGGTGACTAGATATAACGAACCACGGTCAAAGGTCCAAATGGAGGCTTTTCTCACTCTCAACAGTGAAAAGACACATTTTCTAGCCCAAATGCCATCTGTCAGCCACTTTTACCCACAGTGATGAGTAATGAAGAGACATGTTTTGAATTCTTTGAAAATTGCAAAGAGTGAGTCGTTTGTGATAAATAACCTAATGCAGCAGTTGGTCATTGTTTGAAGAAGAATGAAAATATTTTTTAAATGTTTTTCTCATGTACTTGCTAGGCTTTGTTAACCCAGGCTGCTGTCTAAGCAGACTCTAGCTGTTAAACCCAGTCTGAAAAAGAACTTGAGCTGTCTCACTCACAGTAGCCATTTGAGATGGTAGTTTTCAACATGTAACATTTTTCAAAATATGACATCCAAACAGTGGTGTTAAGTACCAATAGTGCAGCACTGGGGCCAACGATGGACAGATCCATTCATTCATTCTGTGTAGGCCCATAATGAATTGCTGTGCTTTTCTTGATTGCTATTTGTTCTGTAGCTACTGACATACCGTGTAAGCTACTTTCTGTTGATTTGGTACTGTGGGCTTGCTAAAGCTATTTCAATTGTTTGATAGTCGGAAAGAGCAGGCTGTGTTTGTTTGAGTCCAGGGCAGGCTTTTAGATATGCGTTGATAGATCTGGCACTTTGGCTGCTGTCCGGCGTGTAGCATATCAAAGGCTGCAGGTTTGCAATTGTGTGGAGTCGTTGTGTGTCTGTCTGCCTGAGTGTAAACAAGAGTGCTTGGGGCGACAGGTGGGAGGCACAAGAAAAATATTTGCACCGGGGCCAATCACAATTGTGTTACGCTGCTGCATCCAAAGCATTTCTATGAAGGAGCAAAATACAACAAAGAACCATTAAGAAGCACAAGTGTCTCAGCAGAATGTCCTTTTAAAATTTGGGGCAAATGGGGCCCATCAAAATGATGTCCACAAGAAGTGCTTAATTTTGCCACAGACAGGCTAAGAATGTTATACCAAGTGTCTGACAATATTATGAAAAGGATCCCTATGGGTAACACGCGGTAACACACAACTCGAGCAACAAAGTCGCGTGACAGGATAGGCTTTCAGTATTGAGATTGTCATCGACATCATCGGCCGCTTTAGCATGTTTGGAGAGGACCAGGCAGAAAGGAGGGACAAAGTCTCGGGGAGCGGTTGAGAAGAGAAAACTCACACGAGAAAAGCAACTTGAAGATTAAATTTGCGTTTGGTCTAAATGCACAGTCAGAGTTGGAGAGAGGAGTTTGTTGTGTTGAAGTAATATTAGGAAATTATGTCTTGCTTGCAGTTCCTCTATGTATACAAACTCCCTTGTTTCCAACAGTGATTCCTGCAACAACTTGCCTCTCACAAAATTTCAGAGTGAGAACTGTCCTTGAGCAAGACTTCTAATTCTGGTTAAAAACAAGGGATCCTTTCCATGATATTGTCAGACACCGCATGTAACAGTCTGAGCCTGTCGGTGGCCAAAAGAAGTGGTTACTCCAAAGGAATACTTTGCAGCCACTACAGTTGGTTGAAGCTGCTGGCTGAAGCAATCTTCTGCAAGGATTTTAAAACTTTTGTACCTAGTAGTCATTTTGACAAAACAATTGGGCCTGTATTTAAAATTACAAAAATTATCTGTAAATGTACAGCACATTTATATTTTTTCTTATGTGTTATCCTGCCCTGAGCTGAGTCCTATAATTATATGATGGACATGAATACACACCTCATCCAAGAATAAATAATGAAAATTTAAAGGTTTTGTTAGCCTAAACATCCACCTCTGACATATTTATATCTAATTAATTATAAAGATAATGATTTTTCATGAAAGTGTCGTGCATGATACCATGATAGTGACCTTACATGTGATCGCTGAAAACCAGTTTCCTCCTAATGGCACAAGAGCCTCATTACATAGGGCAAGATGCTACATTACTCCATCCAGGACACTGGCTTAAGCCCTTCTAATGAAGAAGCTATTTAGGCTGCAGCTTTAATGTGACATCTCAGCAATCACACCTCAAGTCTGATTGTCCAGAAATGATAGTCACTATTATGTCACACAGTGTACTTACTGCATTTGTGCAGCAGTGGGCTCACTCCTTTTGAGAAGCTGAGATGTACTCTGCTCACTGCATCTTTCTGAGTGTCAGTATGGATTTTGACAATTTCTTGTCTATTTAAAAATAAAAGTAATGAAGTGTCTGTAGTTATTTAAGCATTATTCAAATGTTCATGTAGACTTTCTATGTGAATTAGCATATTTCTAATTGTTGTGAAGACATAAAGTATTTGCTCCTTAGAGTCCATTCACTGTCCCCAGATCAGATCTGTGGGGTTTGGGATATCAGCAGTCATGGCTGTGAGCTACAGTGTATTTTTTGATATGCCTAATATACTGAAATATTCTAGCTGTATATCCAGGTTTATGTCATGTTCCTATAACTCATGTGCAGTGACAATAAACTGATGGTTAAGGGTTTTTTTTTGCATTTGTAAAAAAGATTAAATTAGATTAATTGCACATGGTAAATACAACAAAACAACCCCAAAGCCTCCAAAACCACAAGTTGCATCTTTTGTACTTCATCCATTCATCGTCAACCACTTATCCTGCGTACAGGGTCACGGGGGGCTGGGGCCATTGCCAGCTGCCATCGGGCAAAAGGAGGGGAACACCCTGGACAGGTCTCCAATCCATCGCAGGGCCCTTTCGTACTTCACACATGTTGAAATAGAGAACAGGACATTGCAGTTTAACAAGCAGCCAGCCGAACATTACAGTTGGAGGTACTAGCTTAGCATTAGCCCTCGCTGCATGTGCCTCTCCAGAAGTCCTGTCCTCATGATGAAGCCACTGGGTTCACACACCCTCCAACCCTGTACAAAACCAGGTGATTCACGCCATGTAATTAAGACAATGTTGGACTTATCGAGTGTGTGTGTTCCTCCTCTTTTGCAGAGGCTAGTCACCTTCCCACACTCTCTGTCCACTGATACATCTTATAGGCCTACATCTCTGTTCACTGAGCCCAAAGAGATGAAACTGACATCCACCCTCCATCAAGCTCCAGGCAAGACTGCAAAGCTGAATATAAATGTGGAAGTAACGCAGCGTTACAGGGATTCGCAACTATAAGTAGTAAATTGTAATCCCGATAAAACTTTACATACCCCATTTAGCAATTATATGCAGGATACAAACATCTAATAATGTAGATGTATGCAGCTCTAGGCACATTTTTGAATGATTATTGATGTACAGTATTTGTCAGCAATTATTAGAAAACTAATTATAAATAGAACATTTCATATTGTTACAACTGCTACAATTGTCATTCATTATCCTGTTTATACACCAGCTTCAACTTATTGGTGTCCACAGGATGAGTTCTATCCAGATATTGACGCATTTATAAACTTAATTACTTTATCCTTACATTTACATTATAGTGTGGAATAAACAATTTTTTCAGATGTTATAAATGCTCAACACAGGGATTAAAGTGAAGTGTTGTTGTAGTGCCTTATAGTACTCGATACTATAAAAACATTACTGTCACACATTGCTATGTAGCCTAATTACATATTCCCCAATACAATCTTTGACAACATGATTTTGAACACGACATGCACACCAGTTGCCTAAAAAGGGGTACTTGATAGATGAAATGAGAGATATAGCAGAGTACAACAGAACAGTTTGAGGAATTGATGTTGCATCATGATGTGTTGAGCACACACTGTGAATCTTCCCCAAACAACTGACTTCTGGTGATCTGAGAAGATTATACAGTCACTGCTAAAACTCCTTCAAATAAGTGCTATTTAGTGTTCAGATGTGCCAATTTATTACTCCATTGCTTCTCATTACATGATGCATTCGATTCTCTGCATTATGTAAGCATAACCCTCTTACACTGATTGAAAATTCACATCATGTTTTTACCCAATTTGAGCTGAGGATTATATATTGGTCAGTGGGAAGGCTTGAGCAGATACAAAACGTATTAAAATCCTCGTTATGCAACATCACTGTGCAGATCTGTGGCGGGAGCTTAGGATGCGGCCTACAAGTTTCTGGGTGAATTTATAGAACAACTGTGTCTAATTTACACAGTCTGGTCTTTTATCTTTTTCTTTTTTTAGGATTCAATGTCTCAAGGAACAATGAATACATATGACATCTCTATATTATGTTGTTAACATTGTCAAGGCTGTGCTTGATTGAATATGTTTGTGCAGACATGAACGAGATAAATGTTGAAAATGATAGTCTGTTAATAATAATCTGTTTTTCCAAAACTTTCAGTCAGCAGCCTGATAGGAAATTAATTTCTGAGTGAATTTATGCTTTTGTTTTGCCTTCTCAGATCTACAGCACTGCCTAGATTAGATCTATTTGCACCAGCTTCCTGTATTTCCTGTGCGTCTGGCTAGTGTATTTAACCATATGTATGTGTGTGCGCGTGTGTGTGTGTGTGTGTGTATTAATATTGCATATACAGAGTGATTCATGGCTCTCGGTGCAAAGCCTTCTCAGAAGGCTGTGTGCATGTTTGTGTATAAATGAGCATGTGCATTTATGTGTGTGTGCCCTATGCATATGTGTGTTTAGACAGGGGGAGGGGGGGCAGCACTGTCAACGTTCCTCATTGGCTGAATTATTTTCTCTGGCAACTAGAAAACGTGATCCTGCCTGCAGAGGCACTGCAGTGAGCGCTGCAGCGAGCGAGAGCAACGAGAGAGAAAGAGAGGGAGTGTGTGTGAGAGAGAAGAGAGAGAGAGAGAGAGAGAGAGAGAGAGAGAGAGAGAGAAAGGGGGTCGGCAGGCAAAACAAGCCCCATGCATAAGGAGGGAGCCAGAGGCACAGAGACAGAGAGGGAGAGTGTGTGAGTGTGCATGTATGTGTGAAAATACTGCGCATGTGTGACTGTGAAGCACACTGACTGGAGCAGACGGAGAAGGAGAAAGAGGAGGAATGAACAGCAGCTGAGACAAGAGGAGAGATAACAGCAGAGGAGAGGGAAAGACGGAGAAGAGAAGGTTTACCTGAAGACCAGAAGACGAGACAGTAGACGCACAGAAAGGAAGAGAAGGCGGTGTACATTCAGAAAAACAGCACAGATGCTCAGGTCACTGCATAGAATCAGCTGAATTATTTGAGAGGCTTAGGAAGAGGAATGGAGAAAGAGAGGCCAGCGGGAGATGCTCAGCCACAGCTCAGAGGAGAAGGAGCATCGTTGGGAGAGTGAAGGACAAAAGGTACCAGAGAGGAGAGGAGAAGAGGAATGAGGGATGCGGAGCTCGACGAAAGCAGCTGGAGACACGACGCATCCACCTTGTAACGGCTTCCTCCATCTTACATCTCCTCCATGTTTTCCTCCCCGCACTGCTGCCAGGTTGCTTGTCCTGCTGGAATCAAATGGACAGGAGAGAGCATCCTCCCTCTGGTGAGAACATCCCTTGAACAAAGAGACTGAGCGGCTCAGTTTATCTTCACAGAAGCAGCATCAACAACAACGTCGACGGCATCAACTGGAACAGGAGTGAGGAGGTGAGAAAGGACTGGAACAAGAGAAGTGCGTAGGCAGACAGGTGAGGGTGAGAGAAAGGCTTTGCATCTCTTTCATAGAGATGATACATGTAAATCCTCATATTTTTTACCTATATGTTCTGTAGGTTCTGATCTGTGAGGTGTGGCTCCTGTATGCGGGTTTCGTGCTAATGTTCTTTTCTTTCTAGCTCTCTCTGTGCCAGAATGAAATGCACCGAGGTGGTCTTTGCCTTTTTGCTTTGTTACGTTAGGCTGGGATTTACATGGTTGTTGCATCATGGCCGTTCATTTTGCAGACGCACACACACACACACACACACACACACGGATGCATGAATGAAGACACACATGTGTGCACACACCTGCACGCCTGCTTATTTGCATTGACCACAAACAATGATTAGAATCCATGAATAGACCATGATGATGTGTGAGTTTGGGTGTAGATGGTCTCTTCAGGGTGTCATGTCTCCAGCGGTTATGACATTTCACAGACCTCTGCACAGACAGACAGAGGGGGCAGGAGGAGGAGGAAGAGGGGTGGGGGGTGATAGGGACAGGGCAGGAACGGCCTGTTCTGTAGCTGTCAGCAGCACTGAGGCATCTCCATATTGGCCATACATTGTCGCTGCAGTGAGAGTGCTGGGTACACCATGCTGCGATTGCATAACTGCTGCTCCGAATGCACACCCCTCCCACCTGCTAAAGCCGCTCCATCACACACGGTCCAAATATTTTGGCCACCTCGTCTCTATCTCACAGTCTCCCCTGAGTACACAACAACAATGCTGAGACAGCCTCCTTAAAAGAACCATCAACTGACTTAATCAATAAAGCCATTGTTATTGAAGAGCTGGACATTTTGCTGAACATTCACCTTCATGAATCTTCTATGAGGTCTGTCTCAGGCAGAAAGACAATGGTTATTGCTTTTATTTTTCTGCCAGTGTGCAGCCCTGCCATGTTGCTGTGGGAGCCACACAGACGAGAACAAAGAGCACTTGGCTGTAATGAATTGCGAGGCAAAATGGCCGATGTCTGCCGTGAATGACAGCGGGCTGAATTATTAAAACAACACCTCCCCACACACTCAGTAAGCACTTTCTGCCCATGCAAAAAACAAAAACATCAAACCGCCATCACATAGTGGCTTGTGGAATAACCGCATGTGATCACAGCTTGATGGCTTGATTGTATATATATAAGAATTAAAAACAAACATCTGGATCTGAATCATGGGGGGAAAAATATTTAAATCTTGGCATTTAAATGATGTTACTGTGTGTTATGTGTGCGTGAAATGCATTCCTTTATTGAGAAAATGATGTAACAAAGGCCCAAAAGCATTTTAAAGTTTTTTAATGTCTTTTACAAAAAAATATAAAACACCAGGAACATAACAAACAAGCTGTGTCATCTGCATTTATACAGTACCACACATACTAAAATATGACACAGAAGCAAATCATCCTGTATATATACATATATATGTATTGTATCATTCACAACATTTCACTGAATCACTGCCACGATTTTTCAGAGAGAAGCTGCAGCCAGCAAACATACATTAAATCTGGGGATTTATCTTCAGATCACGCTAAGGTCATAACACGTTACGTAATGACAATAACAACATAATATCGCACATAGGTTCGAGGAGAGATGTGGTGATCCTTTTTTACCAGCTGGGGCATGATTGTGGATACACATCTCAACATAGCTGGCATACCTCACATACTGCTGGTATGTGGTGTAGGGACATAAAGACTCTGATCTGTCCAGTCCAGCAGACTGCTCACATAAAAAACAGACATACAGACAGATAGATAGATAAATCATTCAGAACATGGTCAATGCAATCAGCAAAGGTGTGTGTGTGTGTGTGTGTGTGTGTGTGTGTGTGTGTGTGTGTGTGTGTATGTGTGATGAAGGAAACATGGTGGGAGTGTGAGATGATAGGAATGTTCTTTCGTGTGGAGCTGTGTGTGTTTCTTTTTGAGTTATTTTAATCAGTCCAAGATAAATCTAGCATGACTTAGTATACACTTTTTTTTAAAAAATGCTTTTAGTGGCTCAATTCTGTTTGTTATCTGTATGTTTGTGTGTCCACTGAGATGTAAAGGGTGGTGCCGAGTACATGATGGGGAGTTGTCTAAGGGTGAGAATGTTCTAGGATGTGTGTGTGTGTGTGACTTTATTCTGTGTGTGCAGCTCTGTGTGTGTTTAATGGTATGAGGAATTTGCTGCTGAGACAGTGGTCAGCTCTCTTCTTCCTCTTGCTTGTGATGACGAGGTCAAATGCCTGCCATGATTTCATTAGTGTAATAATTCCTCTGCAGGGAGAGGATCCAGAGTTATGTGTAAACACACACACACACACACACACACACACACACACACACACACACACACACACACACACACACACACACACACACACACACACAAACACACACGCTCAATGTCAAGACTGTGGGAGAGCTGCAGCACTGTGTTAATATGGTGGCTGGGCTGGAGATGAGCCCCTTACATAACCGGAGAGGGCTCCGTTGATTACGAATAGGCTGCGCCAAAGCTGGCCCATCAGCAGCCAGCCTGCATCAGTTATCAGCCCTTTTCATAACACTGTCACCAAATTAGAGGGTAATTTTAGCTGTTACATCTCCCCCAAGGCTCCTTGTGCAGCATGGTTGATCTATCAACTCGACCCCTGCCACTACCGGGCAGACATGTTTCCACAAGCTGTTTATATCCACAGAATGTGTCTAGACCTAAAGTACGGCCTACTGAGAAGTGGAGCTGATTATTATTAAAAATACATCAAATACATCTTTGCCATTTCTTGTCATTTATTGGCTCATATATACACCAGTACAGATGTAAATAAGAGACAGATGTGCAATAAACTTATATCAGCAGATGTATAGGCCTGGCTCTATTTCAAACCATCATTGAGTTTAGTTTGAATTCAATTCATAGTTCAGGCCTCAAGTCACACTTTTGTACTTATGTATGTACAGAGTTGGGAAACATCAATATACATACATATTTAAAACAGTATAATATACTGTTATGTCAACATTTAAAGTAGATTGATGATAACATTATTTCTGAGTTTAGGTTTTAATACCAAAATGTCAGATTTTGGATACTATACTTTAAAATGTTTTTCTACATTTTATCTAACAAAAGAAGTCAAAAATTTCAAATGTTCAAAATAATTTTAACCCAAGCAGAGCTTTCGGTCTAAAAGTGTAAAAAAAAAAAATATTTAAACCAGTAAATAGCTGATGATTTAACAAAATATAAGTTTTACATCCACCCATAATTATGACAATTTGATGATATTATGTTTTCTTATTCATAATGTCCAAATTAATTACTAGAAATGTGTACATTAAACTAAAAAAAGGAGCTGCTAAATCTTTTGTTTCTGTGGAACAGTAAAACACACTTGAATATCAATTTGATTATTTGTATGTGATTTTGCCATATTAATCTCAAACAATTATTCTTATTAATATGGTGAGCCATTCCATTCAGCATTTTTATGATAGATATCGTGTGTGATTTTGGTTATCATAATATATTCATGATGATTCTTTATCAGAAATATCTAAATATCTTCTAAAAGCACCAAGCATTGCCCCACAATCTATCACTGTCAAGGTGTTTGGATAAAACTTACATGGAATATAATATGGAAAAGAAAGATTTACTTTTGTTGCTAACGCCCAGTTTCATCAAAAGTGATGAATGCATAGGCTACTGTGTTTGCAAGAAGATTTGTGAAAGAAAGAGCGGCTATTTCGGGGAAAGTGTTGCGACACTGCAGTGCTGGAGGGACACATTTGGTGAGATTGTCAGTGATTCTGGCTAACAGCTCTGTGTGTTTGAGTGTGAGATGCACAAATATGTCTACAGCTTTATCTGAGAAAGTATGAAAGGGAGAAATAAACGTCTGTATGCTTGCCAAATATGGCTCGCTGCATCACGTGAAAGTAATGGGCTAAAGCACTTCCGCCTGCCAGGTACATCTCTCTCATTTGGTATGAATCTTCAGCAGAGGTTGGGGGCAGGAAACCACTGAGAGGCACATAGATAAACAAACCATAAATAGAATCCAGGACCAGCGCTGTGCTATCTCTCGTCTCTCTCTCCTCGAATGAATCATCACCGTTGACAGCCATGCAGAGAATGAGAGATGTGTCATCCTCCCTCCTCTGCAGTTTGGCAGCTATTGTTTTGGTCAAACTAAAAGTTTTTAACCATACACTTGTTCTTTTTCATAAACCCACACACAGTATGACACAAACCCTCAATGCAGATTGTAACCTTTTCCCACGCATATTAGAGTCTAACTGACGCAACTCACAAGAGGAACAAATGCTGAAAGGAAGCAGGAAGCATGACAAGTGCAGGACAGCAGCATGTGTCGCAATCACCTGCTCAGTATTTACTGTTTGTGTGCAGTTTAATTTAGTTTAACAATCAACTGATATTAACACACTTTTAAAGGGAGGCGTGAATGAATTTGAACTTGTGCTAAGACAAATAATAATGTTCCATTTTTGCTAGTGTTGGAAATGTGTAAATTCAATTATATGCCTATTATGTAGGTCATAATTAGAGCTGGTGTTGTGCTGGACTACAATTGAGATGTGTTTTAATTTTTTTCTTCTCCCTATTTACATACATGAGGGGGTCAGAGTAGAACCTCATTGCTAAAACATATAATTTAATTAACAAATCTATAACACCGTCAGAAATAAAGGAATATTACAGGCATCATAAGTGTAAACATTACATGGCAGAACAGTTGTACTAGACTATCTTCCATACACACTGGGTGTATATACAAGATCCTCTCTTGTATCTGAATTCAAAAGTGCCAGCGCTGAAATGATTCCCTGATCAGCCAATCATAATTAATTGATAAAAGCACAAAATTTATTTAAGTGTTCTGAATTACCCTCACCACAGAGTTCGAACATTCAGGTGTGCTGTGTTTTTAATTTTTATGCCTACATAGAGCACATATCAACATGATCTTCTGACTTTGTAGTACACTGTTTAGTCAAAAGAAAGGCGCACTCTCTGTGCTGTGCCCCAGAGCTGTGCCCCAGAGCATGTGGCAACATGCTCTGGGGCACAGCAACAATTATCTCACTCTAAAAAGAGACACACCTGGGCCAAGGTCAAGATGCAAAAGGAAATAGGACAAAAAAAAAAGCCAGAGTGAGCCACCCTGATCGTCATGTAGCTACAATATATATATATGAATGTGTGGAACATGAATTTTATGTTTAAATGTTCTCATTATAGAAACCTTCTAAAAATTAAAAGCATAATCAATTATCAATCAAGCTTATATATTTGTGAGACGCTGGCCCTGTCCTCCCCACCTGTATTCAATTTACTACCACTATTTACCATTTTAGATGTTATTAAAATTCACTAAATCTGAAAGACGATGTGCATAAACTCATGTATTTTATGAATCTGTTTACACAGGTAGGTGGTGCCAAAGGAGTCACGTTATGAGTCGGAGACACTGAAAAAGGGAGACAAGCACAGAAGCACAGACTGTTATCACATCTTCTGCTCAGTTGGGAGGACTATCTGAAAGTCAAAACTCTTCACTCCCACCTCTGAGGAATTCAGGAGCCTTGGAGCTTGAAGGAGTCATTCTAACAGAGCATTATAGGATAACGCCCCATCCTAAAAAAGACCTCCTCCCTCTTTCTTATCAACAGGTCACCAAGAGGGGTCACACAGGGTTACCTGACCGAACTCGACCAAGAGCAGAAAGACTTGAGGTTATTCTTTCTTTCTCACGCTCTCGAGTCGATGTGTAACACACCCGCAGCCAAAAACAGGAAGTTAAGCAGGTGTTTGAGAGAGAAACACACGTAAGGGCTAGTTTGTGAAGGCAAGAGTTTCCTTGGCAGGCCACAGGATATAGATTAAGACAATACCTCTTGGACCTTTCCAAGTGAACTGCCTGAACTCAATGCCCCATCCCACACACCCCCCACTCTGGGACTGAAGAAATCCCACAAACCTGTACTGTATGTATATATGTGAGCATCTGCGTGCATATGAGATTATTTATTGGTGTTACCACTGAGTGAGAACATATCTTTGTGCTAAAGTACTAACTGTTGTCCTTGTGTGTGAATATATGTTTCTGCAAATAGCCATCAGAGATAGCACAGAAACATCAGCATAACAACAACGAAAAAACTACCTTTAAGTAGTCAACACTGGTCAGATACTGTAAGCTGGACTGTTAAATCATCTGTACATATCAGAGGTGACAGAATAAGAGCTCCAGATTGTGGTGCTCTGGCTGAGCTCCTCCATCTATTTTCCCCTCATAAAGACTCAGGCTGACAGTAGCGCCCAGCAGAGGGGGATCTCTAAGGGAAACATGGAGGCAACCATCCGTCCCCATGTACCCTCCAATGGCTGACTTCAGAGAAAGAGCCCACGTTTTTTCCCCTTGCCCAGAACCAAGCAGGGGTGTCCAGTGCTGATTAGATACACAAACCCTCTTCTTTTCCACCTCCAAAAACGTGCGAATGTCCTGCCTCAGGCGCCAGCCCGTCACCATCCCAATGGACACCGTCAAGATCATCCAGTCGGAGAAGTTCCCCAGGGAGTGCCCTGTGCCAGTCACCCAGCCACGCTATGCCCCGCCCCCGAGGGTTGCGTGGGACGGCGGAGGTGAAGGCGAAATCATAGTCAACCAGGCCTGCAGTGACTTGACCCTGGACATGACAGGGTCTCCCCGGTCTCTTGTGTCCACTCCGGCCCCCGTGACGCGCAGGGAGCAGAGCTTCCTGGCGCAGCGCAAAACCAGTGCCAACGAAATCTGCTACCACCAGTTCCACTACAAGATGGAAGACGTCATAGTCAACCAGTACGTGCTGCGCTCCTCTTCCACCTCCTCCTCCACTTCTTCCTCTTCCTCCTCGGGGCCCGTCATGCCCTGCGAGCCCCTGGACTGCCCCACCTGCGGCCACACCTACAACTTCGCTGGCAAGCGTCCGCGCATCCTCTCCTGTCTGCACTCGGTGTGTGAGGAGTGCCTGCAGATCCTCTACGAGTCCTGCCCCAAGTACAAGTTCATCTCCTGCCCCACGTGCCGGCGCGAGACAGTGCTGTTCACTGACTATGGCCTGGCTGCTCTGGCCATCAATACCAGCATCCTGAGCCGCTTGCCCTCTGACCCCAACGGGCCCGTGCAGTGGGGCGGGGACGCCGACCGCAGCTGCTACCAGACTGTGCGCCAGTACTGCCAGTCAGCCTGCACCTGCCAGATCGCCAACCCCTTGTCCTCCTGTGGCATCATGTAGACAAGGGGAGACACTTCAGTCATGACTCGACGTTGCAAACTCACCTCCACCTCCACCACCACTCTTTTCGTCTATAAGCTCTACCCCTTCTGCCAGTCCCTTCTCTCTCTCACATACAGTAAATAAATCCCTCCACAGATGTTATCTCTATATATTTAATAGCACAGATGGATGCTATGTGGGACTAATGGATGCTGGTGGTGAAATAAATAGTAAATAAATGTATTTTATGTATGGACTGGAATCCTATTCACCCTCTCTCGTTTGGTTGGACGTGTTTGTCATTGACATCTCTTTACATGGGAATGCCAGGGGAGGTCTATCCCCCAACCTAGGTGAATAAAGATTAAATAAATGATAAAAGTAACTCTGTGTGGCCTGCACTTGTTATCTGTCAAGCTGCAGAATTATTTTTCTTATTTGGACTAGCACACGATAAAAACTGGATTCATTCATAGTTTGCCATGCATTACAATATAATGGTGTTTTCTAATGTTTTTTTTTTGCACAGATTAAGGAGGATGAAATGTACCAAATACTAAGAAGGCCATCCCATAATTAGCACCTTTTTGCAATTAAGGGGAAAATTCTGAAATTATTTTGATACATAAAAAAATGTTTGTTACATTTGATGTTACAAAGTCAAAGATGCTTTTCAGTGTGTTTTTTTTACTCCTTAATATATAACCCCTTAATTTCACTACAAATATCAAACTATTAGTTGCTTAATGGATTAGTCAAACTGAAATCATCAGCAATTTTGACAAGTTTAATGCTGGTGTAGGCAACTGATTTTCAGAAGCATTTGATGTTATATTTGTTGAATTCTCTTTACCCCACAGCAATACTATCAATAAATGAAATGCTCTCAGGAAAGAAAAAAAATCCGGTGTCTGTCGCAGGACTGTAACAAGCACGGCTAGTCATTTTATAACAGAAATAAATTATTGGTTGGCCTACCTGATTACCTGTGTGCACACTGCCTGTGCACTTACTGTGCAAGAAAATATTGGGGATTGGCTTTGGAGGGAGGCCTGAAGGGAGGGGGCAGGGTTTTGAGGTTGTTTTTGGACAATTTATAGAATAAATGATTATTAAGAGACCTGGGTGTACCCGATGTCAGCTGAGATTGGCTCCAGCCCCCCGCGATCCTGTACGCAGGATAAGCGGTTGGATTTATGGATGGATGGATGATTATTAAGATCAACATAGCCATTAGTTGCTGGGGTACAGATATATTTTCATATTTAACAGGAGAGCCAACACATTTCATAAGAAAAAAGAGATGATTATATTTATAGTATATTACTTGACATTTATAGTGTAATCAGTATTCTTTACCAAATGCTACAAGAATTTGATTTGACTTGAAATTTGAAATGTACGTTATGACTTTAATTCCTCACAGTTTTATAGAAAATTATATTATTTACCAGTATAAAAAATAAAGGCAAATATACAGCGGACAATAAATAAGCATGGAATATACACTCACCTAAAGGATTATTAGGAACACCATACTAATACTGTGTGTGACCCCCTTTCGCCTTCAGAACTGCCTTAATTCTACGTGGCATTGATTCAACAAGGTGCTGAAAGCATTCTTTAGAAATGTTGGCCCATATTGATAGGATAGCATCTTGCAGTTGATGGAGATTTGTGGGATGCACATCCAGGGCACGAAGCTCCCGTTCCACCACATCCCAAAGATGCTCTATTGGGTTGAGATCTGGTGACTGTGGGGGCCATTTTAGTACAGTGAACTCATTGTCGTGTTCAAGAAACCAATTTGAAATGATTCGAGCTTTGTGACATGGTGCATTATCCTGCTGGAAGTAGCCATCAGAGGATGGGTACATGGTGGCCATAAAGGGATGGACATGGTCAGAAACAATGCTCAGGTAGGCCGTGGCATTTAAACGATGCCAAATTGGCACTAAGGGGCCTAAAGTGTGCCAAGAAAATATCCCCCACACCATTACAACACCACCACCAGCCTGCACAGTGGTAACAAGTCATGATGGATCCATGTTCTCATTCTGTTTACGCCTAATTCTGACTCTACCATCTGAATGTCTCAACAGAAATCGAGAGTCATCAGACCAGGCAACATTTTTCCAGTCTTCAACTGTCCAATTTTGGTGAGCTCTTGCGAATTGTAGCCTCTTTTTCCTATTTGTAGTGGAGATGTACCCGGTGGGGTCTTCTGCTGATGTAGCCCATCCGCCTCCAGGTTGTGCGTGTTGTGGCTTCACAAATGCTTTGCTGCATACCTCGGTTGTAACGAGTGGTTATTTCAGTCAAAGTTGCTCTTCTATCAGCTTGAATCAGTCGGCCCATTCTCCTCTGACCTCTAGCATCAACAAGGCATTTTTGCCCACAGGACTGCCGCATACTGGATGTTTTTCCCTTTTCACACCATTCTTTGTAAACCCTAGAAATGGTTGTGCGTGAAAATCCCAGTAACTGAGCAGATTGTGAAATACTCAGACCGGCCCGTCTGGCACCAACAACCATGCCACGCTCAAAATTGCTTAAATCACCTTTCTTTCCCATTCTGACATTCAGTTTGGAGTTCAGGAGATTTTCTTGACCAGGACCACGCCCCTAAATGCATTGAAGCAACTGCCATGTGATTGGTTGATTAGATAATTGCATTAATGAGAAATTGAACAGGTGTTCCTAATAATCCTTTAGGTGAGTGTACATCACATGGGCTACATCAACATACATCAATAGGAAGTCAGTTTGAAAGCAGCGACAGGGCTCAGACTCAGAAAGGAAAGCTTTCTTCTCTTAACAAGTGAAACAAAAATGACCAAACATCATGACAAACACACTTTGGTCCTTTCACATGGGCAGTGTTTTCCTGCTGTTCTTCCTGAACAGCTGGCTCAACCGTCTCCTGGCAGATTTTTTCTCAGATGGCTGCATCTTTTGGCTGTATAGATAAAAAAATAAATCAAATAGAGCTGAGGTAAGCCATTGTACTGTAGAAAGCTGGAAGTGGCAAGTGTAAGCTAGGGTTCGTGAAAAGCAGGACAAAATGTTCAAGAGGAACTGAAGCACAGACTGAAAATGAACTCCCACCAAAGCCTCTGCATCTACTGTGCATTAGCTCTGGATCAGTGCGTCAGTGCGTCTGGCTGCCATGTTGGAGTAGCACACATATTTCCTCAGAGCATCATGAATCATATAAAATTAACAATACTGCCCCCTTAGAGGTTACAGTTAAAAATATGTCTCACCCATCTCTCACAGCAGGGTCCTCTCTTCTCAAAGACCCAATTTTTAACTTCCAGTTCTTCTTAATTTTATTCGTCTTCTGCTGAAAAGATACAATTAAACATTTGCAGACAAAAATAAGAGAAGATTTTAAGAGAATAGAATAGAAATAACACATTTCATATAAAGTCATTAGGCTATTACACAATACAAATGACATATAATTTATATTCTTTAGTTGGTATTTTGATTGTGGTTATTACATAAGTACAAATTATGTGTTGTATTTGAGTGTGTTCTATGTGCTTTACATGGCCTTCCTCTACCTTCTCCGGCAGGTCATCTGTACTCAAATGCTGCCCTCTGCAGTCTGCATTCAATGTTCCTGCACCAAACACACACACAATGATCTAGCTAAAGATGAGCATCTATTTACATATAGGACTATAGAAAACATATCAACACAAAAGGTGAAAGTAGAAAGAAACAGATACACCAGGACTCACTTAAATGCAGCGCTGCAATGGTTGAGTCTGAAGCTGATCTCGGCCGAAAATATCTGTCAGGATAATCTTTCTGCTGCTGTGTTTTGCTGGAACTGTGATCTGCACTTTCTGTATTTTTAAGCCTTTGACAAGAAGAGAGATCCTCCTCAGCAGCTTTAGAGTCATTCTGACAGGTGTAGAGAGCCTGAAAGAGAGCCAAGTGACAGGAAAGACAATGTTGTCAGGGGTTTAATTCATATGAACCCTCAGGCTGGATCATCAGCATCATGACAACTCGTGACAACTTTTTAATTGCGCTGCAAAGAGGCAAGACATGTATGCCTTCAGCTGGCTCACCTTCGCATCTTGAAGCTCCCGCAGGGTTTTTGTCTCCATCTGTAACGCTCGACTGTGCATCTGTTGTCTGGCAATTTCCTCTAACATTTGGCACACCTGCTCCAAGTAGCTGAGCCCGGGACTCAGCCCTTTCCCCTCCTCCTTACCAGGGTTCTGCACAGACCATTAAGCAACAAAAGTGTCATCTTGTAGGATACAATTCAAATTCAACGCATACAAGTTTTGTCAGCTTGAAGGTCCATGTTTTTCCTCACTGCTGCTGTGCAAACACACATAGGTGACATTATCCTGTGGCTGTTTTTAGCCAATCTAGCTGAGTGGCTCTATGTCGGTCAGTCAATCAACCACTTTGGAACAGCAGGTTGACATTTGTGATTTTAACTTAAATTTCTAAACTTCTGGATGGATTGCCATGTAATTTGGTTCAGACATCTCTGTCTCCCTCAGGACGAAGTGTAGTAAAAGTGGTGATCCTCTGAATTTTCTTATTGCGCCAGGGCAAAATTTCAACTTGACCGAATACCTGCAAAACCAGTTACCTTCCCATCAGCCTGAGCTGTACTTTGTGTGACCTCTGAACAATGAAATCCTTGACATGTTTAGTCAGAATATCCAGATTTGTTTGACTGACTGATTGCTTATCATTTTCTCTTTATTCATGTGGCACATATCACGTGAATTTTTGAACTGGATAATGAAAGTATAATTACATGTAATTGCAAAAAGTATATAATTAAGTAATTATGACTCCTTGAAATAAATAAACACGCACACACGCCCAGTGACTAAAACAGCATGTAAACACAACAGTTAATTAACATACAACTGGTATGATTAATCCAGTTGTCTCAACACCTGTGCCGTCAGCATGGACTGATTTTCACACTAACTCTTGGCAAACTCGAAGAGGAACATATCCAGTGGTTTGTTTTTTTTACAGTGTTGTTCAAAGTCAAAGTTCAAATGAAGACTAGTTACTTCCGCCATCTGGTTAGGAACGTGTCTGTCACATTTATCCAAAACCCCACAGACTGCTCAACTTCCCCCATGTCTCCATCCATTCCAGTCTTGCATGTAGGCATAAAGTCACCTGGGCAGACTGGTTTTATGATCCCTCACACCACAGAGTGACTTGTGACAGGTTGCGAAAGATGAAAGAGATAATGTATGAGTGATGACATGCCTGTCCTACTTTAAATTTGAGACAACTTGATGTGTTGCAACCCTTCAATTATGATAAAAGTAGAGGCTTTGTTCCACTTATGGAATTTTTTTCAGGCTTTCTTTTCACATTTACAATGCAGCGCTGTGCAAGACCGTACATGTTATTGTGAAACGTATGTAATCCTGACACTAGTCCAAAATAAGCATGAGTAGAAATCTGACACATTATGGAGATTTTGTGTCCCTTCTGCTTTTCCAAAAATTCAGAATTCTTGGAAATGTGTTTGGTTTGTGACATAAACAGTATCTCACCTCTAATCTTGTCTGAGTTGGCTTCTTGTTACAACTCATAGCCATCAGTTGTCCGCACATTTGGATCATAGACACTGATGGGTTGGCTGTCGTCCTTAGGGCATAAGTGTCTGACAGTTGACTTCGCATAATGTCAGATGTGTGTCGATTAGGTAGAGAAAATGCTCGAGGTCGTCGCCTGAGCACCTCGTCCACTGTAAGGGGCTTTGGGTTGTCCTTTAGATGTTTAGAGTCAGTCCTCTGTAGTGCCTGCTCCACTTTTTGGTGTAACGTGGTGGATCTCTCCTGAGCTCTGCTGTGACAGAGGCATGAGGAGGAAATGGAAGATGAGGAAGGCAAAGAAGATAAGAGGACAGGAGACTGTGATGTTGAGGCTGCAGTGAGTCTTTCAACTTCTCTTTCTGGTGTAAATGTGTCTGTTTCTGCGTTTTCTGTTAAGGCGCAGCAGGATATAGCAGGATGAGCAGGATATAGTGTCGTGTCAGAGCTGGCTGTCTCCACTCCAGAGTCCACAGATTCTGAGCGCAGGTTTGTTCCCATATCAGAGGAAGGTGTAGGTGAGTCTTCATCATATTTTTTGGGACAGTCTGAGTCCGAACACTGGCCTCCTTCACTTATCCAAGCCTCCATGAGGTTTCCAAAGCTCCTGTAAAGATTCATCTCCAAACGTTTCCCCTCACAACCCTGCTGCTGAAGTACAACAAGAAAATGAACAAGACACCAGTGTAGACAGCCCGAGCCACTAAGGTGAACTGCCAGTGTAGAACATCCCCTCTGTTCCGCCTCTGTTCCGTCACCACACCTCCCCCCATCGTCTTTCCTGCCACAGCACGGAGCTGCATGTTAATGCCCGCTCCCTCCTGTCATTAAGTCCTGATAACAAGACTGACTCACTCAGAGTTATTTGAAACATTCTATTTGTTTCACACCTGTAAGAAATCCAAGACATAACAAGAACAAGCCATGACACATAGATACTTGCTGGGATGCTCTGTGTATTTACAGACAATACATTTACGAGTACTGATTTAGCTGCCGCTTTTAACCAAAGCGACTTACAATTGCTATATATGTCAGAGGTTGCACGCCTCTGGGACAACTAGAGGTTAAGTGTATTACTCAGAGACACATTGGTGGTGTCGCAGTGGGAATCAAACGCATGTGTCTCATTCACCCACCATCACCACTACTTAAAATTAAATAACAAACTTTTCACAGACAGAGGTGTTGCCAAGGGAAATACAAAGTATTATTGATTGCTAAAATTACATCAAAGTCTCGGAACTTTCTTGAGATGGAAACAAAACTCATGCATTAACATAACCCTTCTATTCGGAAGTGTGAGTATGAGAATGGTAACATAACATATTAAAATTCCTTGATAGATGCACAGCATTAAGGTATGTATGTGTGTGAAGGAGAACTGTAAGAAGAAGCGCAGTGTGACTGAACACTGTTTCGTCATACACAGTAAGATTTCTCACAGAGTGTAGGAATGTGGAGAATGAACACTCCTGCCTGCTGATTTCATCTACATTCCCCAGGTGAACAGTGGCAGCATCTGATCAAGCACAAAGACCTAGAAACTCAAAACAAAAGCTTATTTATTTCGTCTTCCCATCGCTGACCATGCATCTGATGTCGCATTGATGAATGTTAACTGTGATTTTAATATTTCTCCATCACCTACCCAGTCAATTTAGCCACCTATATTATTTGCTATTTTCATTAGACCAACAGTGTAGAAACGAAAAGCTGTGTTCATTGTCTATTTATATATCTATCTGTTCTGTGTTAAAGGATACTTTTTTCAAGTCTGTCTTGACATTTCACACATGTCATTAATCTGGTGGGAGTTACTATATATTGATTAAGGCAGTAGTGCTCAAACTTTTTCTGTCATGCATCCCTTCAGAAGTTGATATACTTTTAATAATTATGATAAAAGGGGGACTTGAAGTAATATGTTTATTCATATTTTTTATTTTTGTTATTTATGTTCTTGACCTCACTAAAATGACACTGGTCACTGTAAACATTCCTCCTTGTCATCCTAAGTCTCAGTAAAGCACTGCAGAAAGTCGGTAGGTGTCGTAGTTGAGCATTTTTCCATTGAAAAAGTCACTGCAGACAACAGCACCACCCACTGTTTTTATAACACATTTCATGTTTACTCTGTAATCCTCACGGTCTTCTTCTTCATTTAGGCTATTTATTTAAAGTCGTTAGCAAAGACAAAGAATTTGAATACAGAGCGAGTGTACTCAGCACTCTGAACCTTGACAGAGATGCTGCTTAGTCGGTCTGTCACACAATAGTCTACCACTAAAAGCTGAGAGCTATATGTGCACTATGAATGTATTACACCAGACTATAAACCCCCTCATATAGGCCCTACAGTGTCACAGCAAGTAGACTAGTTGTGTCCATGCACAAAAAGTTTCGGTGCACACTTCAGCACTTGACATTGAGCTCCATCAGTGAGTTTGTGTTTGATTGTCTGTAGCAACCGGCAACCACCGCGGCGAGGGAGGCGACCTGCTTCTTCAGGCTTAAGCTGGATCAATATGGAGAAATATGCCCCTAAATTTAGCAAAGTTTTGCTGACACCTGATCCACATTATATACCGGGGTAAGTCCATGCCTCCTGATATGAGATTCGGTAAGAAATAATCATATCCTTTTAAAATGGCAGATAAAATCATATATGTAGGCTAGTGCGTGGGCTCCTTCTATACTGTTAAATCATTAGGAGACAAGAACATATCATAAATGCAATAGGGCCTACAATGTGATAACCCTGTAAAACTCACAGCTAACAAGAGGTCTATAATAATATTATTTTTTTATTTATTTGTTGGTTTGGTTTTGTCAGATTAGTGTTAAAGCTATCTTATGTAGTATGTTTTGCAGCCTTATTTGCTGGTGTATTATAGAGTAAGGTGTCCCTAGTCATTTGTCCACAATGTAAAGAGAGACTTAAAATACAGCAGTAAACTTTCAGCCCACTGTTGTATGGCACCATTGTGTTATTTTGTTATTTTATGAATTTAGCATTTAACAAAAATTTGCATATCTCTACATCCTACTGATTTTTTCAGATTTTGTGTGTTTAATCTGTTAAAGCGACAAATATATGTTAAATATACGTACATTTATTCCTGTTGTGTCCGACTCAAAAGCTGCTACTGAGGCACTACAGCTGCTGGAGTTTGTGTTTACCCCAGACTCCCTATTGTTTCCAGGTATGCAGGGTACTGCCCACAGCTGAAGTACAATGTGGGGAAGTCTTACGGCCAGCTCACAGCCGAGCTGCTGACCAGTCCAGGGGTGAAACACTCCGATCGTCTGGTCCTCCACACGGGTCACGTCCCCTCCACAGAGGCTGACCTTGGTCTGACACAGAGAAACATCCTTGACAGTAACTTGAAGAAGATGATACCAGGATACACAGGTATAGATATCACACACTAACCTGGGGTTAGGCTGTTAATTATTTATGTTGTGTAATAACTAGTCCAGCTATATGTGTTAGTTGTAAATAAAAACCGTTCGCCTTTATATATGTGAGTTTAAATGATAACATACAACAAACAGCCATAGGTTTTTGTAGCAGTGTTTGCAGTGTTGATTTGAAAGTGTTTATCTTGTAATACAGAGCATTTTAAAGGGTCAGTTCACCCAAATGACAAAAAAGTTTTTTTCTTCTGATGATATCTAGCCATTCAGGTTGCTTTGGTTTTATTTGCTCTGTGGCGAGAGAACATATCTTTGAAAAACAATGCCTCGATCCACAGACCTCTTTGTGAACTGTCTTTGGAAATACTTTTGTGCCAAAGAAATAGTCCCTTTGAAAAGTTTTCACTTTGTGTTCTGCAGATTATCCAGAGTAACGCTGTTTCTGGAAAGAGTTGCTGCTGTCATTTTTCATTACTGTTAGCACCAGGACCAGCACCTCCTTAATATTTAGGTGGAGGCAGAAATCTCAAAGACAGATATCTCAAAACCTGAATGAGTAAAACCCGAATGATCTTCATGGCTAAACGCCACGAGACATTTGGGTGAACCGATCCTTTAATGATGGTTGTTGCTGTTTTAGGTTTCATTCCAAAAAGTCAGAACTACTTTGCCTGCAGCTATTCTGAAACATGCCGTAAAGCGCTGTCTGAGTTTTACCAGGAGGGGCGTTCAAAGATCCAACGGCAATCAACAGATCTGCCAACTGTTGTCAACCACACCAGCCAACAGTTTGAAGTAACCTACACACACAAGTTCTGGCTCTGCCTCTCTCTCTGTCTCTCTCTCTCTCTCTCTCTCTCTCTCACCCCACCCTAGTTCACTCTTTTAATTATCCATGGTGGAGTCCAGTGTCAGTTCACTGTAATGTAATCCCCCCTAAAAAAGACTGAGAGGCAGAGCTGGTCAGCTTTCTGACCACAGATTCACCAATTATGTCTCTGAGATTCACATTAATGAACATTTTCAGATAATTACAATGAATTATTAGCAGTATAATCAAGTTATTTATGGCACACATTTCGTTTCACTTGCATTAATACATAATTTTTACAGGAACTGGTTTACATTAATCCTGTGGTAATTGGTATTACATATATGGTATTTAGTATATTTGTTGCCTTTTAAACCTTCTGTTATTGCTTATAAACAGGTTTGTCATATGATCCTTTTTGATCATTGAGATCTGGGGTCATGCATGTTTTAATGGTTCTCTGTTATCTTTTGGCACAGAGACCGAAGCCCCCTTTGACGGCAATCTCCAGTAAAGTGATCTACGACAAGCCCTTGAAGTCCTTCACCCCCGCTGGAAAACCATATTTCATGGATGATGATAACCCGTACAAATACTTTATCTCAGGTACAGCTGGTTCCATTAAAATTAATTTGGCCTGAAACCTGAAATAACATATTTTTTTGTTGATATTGCAAACATGGGAGCAAACACATCCAGCATATATGGTGTACAAGTGCGTACTAGCATACAGTTGGAGAGTCACTCATGCATTTAGCTCTTTTGGTCTCCACTCACTTATGAGAGGATTTCCCTGCTATTCAGCTACTAAATGCTCCACCATGTTCACCAGCCAGTCACTAACTTTGTCTGTTGGTGCTGAGCAGGTAGCGCACAGTAGGTTTTAAGATCTTTTTTGACGAAATCAGCTTGTTGCTGCTGACGAAAACCACACTATGAGAGCAGTGAGGGTGAACCAAAACAAAAAGCTCAGATCTGGAAAAACAAAATACAATGAGCTGAAAGGCTCTGAAATGCTGGGGCTAATTGCAGGTTTTATGATACTTCTTTCTGGGTTCATCGCCACAAGCAACCCCTTTCACATACAAGTAGTCATGTGCTCTATTGTTAATGTACAAATATTGATTATTTAGCTGCTTTAAAGCTGTATTAATTCACTTTTGGTCACTAGGGGGGTTGAAAAAGCTGACAGACACAGAGTCCTGCTAAGGCTAACATCTTAGTAAACAATTAGTAGTAAGCACACCCATCAAACACAGAACAACAGTATTGTCCCATTGGAGTCATGTTTGTGACCATCTGGCAAATACAAAGTAATATTCACTTGCCTCCTGAGAAAAATATCTGTGTCTTTAGCTACTAGATATTCAACTTTACTCACCAGGTATTGTTAACTTTGTCTTGCTGTGACTGGAAATGCAATTGTGCAAACTATGAAACCAAAATAACAAACTGCAGCAATGGGTGATGTTCTCTGAGAGTTCATCACTTTGAGTTTTGTTATTTGGGTTGACATAAACAAGACTGATCCTGGCTTTTATACAGTTTTTTCTCTTGCATACCAAAAAGTTCCAAATAATTACAATGTGTATTGGAGCCATTGTAGTATTGTAGTTTTTAATACAAGGGTAATATTCTGTAACAAAGTTGCAAATCTACGAGAAGAAAACTTGGGAAAAAAGTGTTTTCCAAGTCGTTAGTAATAGATGATAAGAGTCAGTGCAGACTAAGAAATGTCTGCAGTTTTTTGAATTGTTTATGCTTTGAACAGAAGGAAGTACCTCATACTAGGTTGGTGAAAGTAGCTTTGGTGTCTGCATACCCTGCTTTCTCAAAGAAATTGGGACTTTATAATCTCAGAAAATATGTATTTAATAGTTTATTTAATAGTTTTTTCCTGTAAATTTGCATTTTTTTCTCATATATTTCCCACTTTTAACTAAGTTTTTCTCAGACTATTTTTTCCCTACAATGGCCCTAATAACAGGTTTTACAGGGCATGTGCCAAAATCCCGCTTCCTAATTGGCAAAGGTTACCCCATCACTACCAACCAGGCACTGATCCAATTTGGAAAGCAGCAGCAGAGTGACCCCACGTCCCAAGACATCCCAAACAGGAAGGACAGTACAATAACCACTCTTCCCACTATCTATCCATCAAACAGAGGTGTGGTTCCGTCATTCACAGGACACATCCCAGGTCTGTGTTTGTGTCAGCAACTCATTTCACTCTACAAAGCCTTGTGATCAGCTATTTTATAACAGTTACTGAATTGAAATGGATCACTCTACCAAGGATTGAAATCAAATTCAAGAATTTCTAACTATCCCACAGGATACCAGTTCATGTATGGACACACCTTTGGTCAACTTTCCCAGAACGCACTGGAAAAGAGTGGCATCAAGAGGATCCTTCAGGCAAAGTCATGAAACCATCATACACTTAAAATGATCATTATTAGCAAGATAAAGGAGTTGTGACAACAAGTCAAATAAAAGAACTTATCCATGAAAACAATTTGTGCTGAAATACAAAAACATGTGGCACATGCATAAACATTTGTACTGTTCACTGTTGGCATACAAGAAGAAAACAGGTAAATGCGTTAAGTCTTTATTGACTTTGATTGTCACTGGGCATAGAGGAATTCTCCAGAGGTTAACAAAGTGATGCTGGGTGGAATAATTTCATAGACTTCACGTTATTGCAGTACATTATCTATTTAACAAATGCAAAGAACACATTTTCTGCTCTTTTCTCCCTCTTACCTAACAACCAGTCTATCAAAATACACCTGGCACACATTTATATACCTGAAACAGCCACAAGATGGCCTATATTTGTGCAACTGAACAAACCTCACCGGAAGACATACAACTGTACTATACCACACGATTGCACACATTTTAAACTCCAGTCCCAGAAAATGACCCAACTACAGCTATAAAAACATTAACAGGAAGCTAAGAGATGTAGTAAATACAGAAGCACCTATTGTATGTTTGTTAACTCATGCACCTACAGTTAATCCATGCTGGGAATTTTCTCATAAAAAGGAAATTACTGGAAATAAAACATCACTGACAATCCACAAGGATAGTGTATCTATATATTTGGCACTAATAAGAGTGTATAGCTAGCTTTTTTCCCACCTATAGATGAAAGGTACAGCTATGGAGAGAATGACAGCGACGTTTGAGAAATGGACAGTTTTGCACCACAAGAATATTAAACAGTCTACAACAGGTCTATAACTTGTTTTATGATTGATGTGTGCCTACAGGAAATATAACGGAGAATAACAGGTAACAGAAGCACCTACTTGTGATTATTCCAGAGTGCAATTGCAAATAGGCCCTCATTCATCAAGCTATTTCCTGGAAAACAGCAATGTAACAACTAATATGAGCACAAATTACATAGCACTGATAAAACGACACAGGGACGTTTTAAGCTGGTTACACCAGGAGCCAGCTGTACCAGCTGTTTGAAAGTTCAAACTAGGCCCAGTTACAGAGATTTGTGCATCACTAAATTAAAAAGGGTTGCACAAAAAATATTGTTCTTACTTAGAGATTAGTTGTCATTGCATATTTACACCCAGTAACTTCCAGGTGTAACAGTAGCATTAGCTAACCCAAATCTTATGTTAGCTGGCTAACATATGACCTATTTAGTTTGAAAAGTAGGAGATAATATGAACAGTTGGCATATGTGACCAGGCAGTTAATCTAAACACTGTATAATGACACACTGGGAGGACTTTTAAATTACACTTCACAAAGTAACAGAATACAGTTACCTCAAATTCTTCAGAGAGGCAAAAATCTACTAACTAACTCTAAAATTTCTAAATGTATGCTTGTATAAATAAATAAAAGTAATCCTAACATTTACAAAGGATTAGCTGTTATATTAAATATAAATTGGACACAAAGTTATTTTTACAGTTATGACAGCGACTTCCTGTTAGTTGAGCCATTCTAATGGTGCAAGTTGATTTGTTTTGAAACTAGCTGATATTTCAGAAATTAGAAAGGACACACAAACTTAGCAATGGATTCACAAATAAGTTGGTGCAACACAAAGCTTGATGAATACGGGCCATTGCCATATCTGTCAATCCTGTATTTTATGTGTTTTCTGCTCAGATCAGCAGCATCGAGCACTGTGTATGTATTATCATGCAGTCCAGACTTTTTGTTTTTACAGTAAATAGCCTCCACTCTGTCCTCCAGCCACATAGGGAGTCAAGCTTTCAGCAGTCCTTGTCAGTCTGAGAACCCCCTAGCTTCATTGACCTGATGGATTGAGCCAACAGTCCAAGCTGCAATCTCTCCAAATGCAGCCACTGTGATGGCCGTCTGTACCTATGAAAGCGATGATAAAGAGGTATTGGTTACGAGTAGTGAGTTTGAGCGTCAATCTTCCATCAGCCTAGATCTAATTCTCACAAACAAATCAAAAATTAACCCAAGATTAATAAATGGTAAATGGGCTGCACTTCTATAGTGCCTTTCTAGTCTTCCGATCGCTCAAAGTGCTATACACTGGCTACCATGCAAGGTGCCAACTGGACATCAGAAAGAAACTGATCATTCACACACACTCACACACCGACAGCAAAGCTACAGCAAAGCGCTGGAAAGGTGCTTTACAAGTACAGTCCATTTACATTCGACATAAGGGCTGGGTGAAGCTGGGGATCAAACCGCCGAACTTCAGATTAGTCGGTGACCCGCTGTACCTCAAAACACAGCCGCCCACAATACATAAAAGTAGTTTGAAAATAAAACAAAATCTGTACTTGTTTTCAGTGCTCACAGCTGGTTCTTACCTTCTGTATTGTGCTTCAATGTGACTCTGAGAAACTGTTGCTGTCCTGGTATTAGCTGCTCCAAAGAGTTTGGCCCAGCGCAGCCCACCCTGACATGGACTTTCAGCCTGGACACAAGTTAATGCATTTGGGCTCTCATTGTCTTTCTCTCCCCTCCTCTCTTCTTGCCTGCTGTCCATACTTATTTGAGACCAAGTATCTGCATTATTATTCTGGCTACAGTCCTCCCCTTCAACCACACCATCCATAAGGTCAGGCTCTTTTTGCCACCACTGGATGCCACCACCAATTGGAGCTAACAATGGACTCCTGCTGACCTGCATCCCTTCGCAATCTTGGTTAATGCAATTCTGAGAACTGAGCGACTCTTGGTGATGCAGTCCTGAAATCATTGTTTGCTGACCACTGCGGCTGCTGTCAGCCTTTTTGTCAACTTGCAGTAGTGGCCAGCTGGTCGCTAAGAGCGCTGAGCATGGTGGAGGTGGAGAAACACCTTCATCCTCCGAACACAGCTGTCTGTTATGTAGCAGTCGGGGCTCCAGGAGCAAGCTGAGATCGAAGGGCAACACAGAGAGTGGTTGCAGAAGAAGTAGCAGCTCCTGAAACAAGGGCTGACAATGACCCAGTGACATGGACAGGAACCCCCATGAATGGTAGTATGTGGTCACCACATCTGTGAAGACAGTAATATGGGTCACACAAAGATCCAAACATATGCAATTATTTGTTGGTAAAGATTGAATAATTATTTAACATGAGTCTACAAACACACAAGCAGCTCAGTGATGCTGTTGAGCAAAATGCATCAAAAAACATCTGCATGCTAGCATAGTCACGATAACAATGCTAACGTGCTGATTCTGAATTTCACTTTGTTTTTCAGACCTTTCAATCTCATCTTACAGTTTTCAGCAGATCACCTAACCTGCCATAGATGATGCGTAGGAATACAAAAGTTTTGAGGTTGAGATAATGTAGTTCCAAATACTGCAAGGTAATTAAACTGAAAATATTAAACACATAGTGTGTACACTTGAACTGATATTGATTTTTTTCCAGTGGGCCTTATTTTACGTGGCTTAATACATTTCACTGCTGACCTAAGGTGACCACATTTCTGAAACGAAAACCGGGGACATTTTTGGTTTGGTGGTTTTGGTCATTAAAAAATATGTTATCATGAAATAAAAAAGGGAGGCGATTTCGGTTTTATAATCTGTCAAATATAACTCTTCTGAATGAAATCAAGTCATTTTGAGGCAGAAACTACATTTCAGTCAATAAGTAGAGGCTGCAATCACTTTCTGGCAAGTAGAATAATGCATTTTATGTGTGTTTGGCCATTCAAAGGTATTTAAACAAGTAAAAAGGACTGGATTGGTTGGTACACAGCAAGTTAAATAATGTAGAGTCATAAGGATAATTGCAAAAGAGATCTTGTCTTTATTTTATATATAACTCAGCAGTAAGTCATGTTAATTATAGGCTACATTCGTTTTCCAAATATGAGCAAGGATATTAGACATAGGCCTGCCAAACACATAATCTATCGGCAACAACAGGCTTCAATTATTGCCTATAATCGCGTAAATGTCATTCTTGGTTTTGATAAACTGCAAACTCTAATTTGGCCACAACTGTGATTATTCTGTTAAAAGAAACGTTAAAAGTAGGCCTATCACAAATACATATCTTTGCTTTTACCACAGACATAAAGTAATGCACGTTATATCTGTTTGATCCACATAAAAGCAGCTGCAGACGTAAAGAGAGGCGATACAGCTTTAACATCTTGCTCCCACGGACGGCAATCAGTTTTCAGCGATCACTTTATGAAAGCCCATTGTGTGTGTGTGTGTGTGTGTGTGTGTGTGTGTTGATGCTGTATGTACATTTACTTGACAGAAATACTTGATGGCTATGTGTGAAAAAGAAAAGGTCAAACTGAAGGAATTAATTTGCTTGGCAAATTGTGTTAGATCAGTGCCCATTTAGGCTACCAGGTAGAGTGCACTCAGTGCATTGTGGCTGATTTAGTTAATCTAGAGATAATGTGCAGATTTTTTCCCACATTGACCAATCGCTTGGTTGAAGAGCTGGCAGAATTTCAGTTCAGAATTTTAGACCAAAGTATTAGACAAATAAAACTTTTACCGGATAAAGGCTTTTAACCAGAATAAAAAAATATGACCACATTACTCCTATATTAGCTTCACTACACTGGCTCCCAGTATGTTTTAGAATTGACTTTAAAATTCTATTGATCACTTTTAAAGCCCTTCATGGCCTCTCGCCTTGTTATATTTCTGAACTTTTAGTCCCATACACACCAGCACGTACCTTGAGATCCTCGGGCAGAGGTCTTTTGTCTGTTCCAGAGTCTCGACTGAAAACTAAAGGGGACAGAGCGTTTGCTGTCAGGGCCCCGAGGCTCTGGAACATCCTGCCCGAGGAAATCAGGTCGGCTGAGTCAGTGAACTCTTTTAAGTCCCTTCTTAAAACATACTTTTAAAGGAGAGCCTTTCCCGATCTTATTTGACTTTATTTTATCCCTTTTATTTTATTCTATCTTACTTATTTTATATTTATCTTAAACGTGTATTTTAGTCTTTTCAATGTTTTCTTGCTTTATCTTGTATTGTTTTTGTATTATTGTCTTTTGGGTATTATTGTCTTTATACTTGTTAAAGCACTTTGTAACTTGTTTTTGAAAAGTGCTCTACAAATAAAGATTATTATTATTATTATTATAAATGAAAAGACATTATTAAAACATTATTATACAATTCTTTGCGAAACCTGAACGTGGTACCAAATGTCAAGACAGTTTGTTCATTATATGTTGAAATATTAGAGTACGGACTGCAGCGGTAGACCAACTGACCAACTCACATTTGACATTTTGCCACCCTGCTAGTGTGGTACAGTACAGTACACAAGTACAGTATATTGACTGTGAACCCACCTTTTTGACTCTGAAGGTGACTAAGCCAGAACTCCAAAGCTCTCAAACTGAAAGAGAGCAAATAACAAACATAAGATAAATGCTTATACTATGTGCAGTAATTTCATTATCATTAGTATGATCAAAGGTAATTTTGGTACTTAAGCAGGCCCATGATGAAGGCTCTCAGTCTCATGCAGTGGCTGGTGAGCTGAGGACATTGTCTGATTTTTGAGACCAGGCTGTGAAGGACCCTGGTGGATGGGCCTGTAGCAGAGTTGGGTTGAGTTCAAAAAGAGTTCATCAAAGAACCAACAAACAGAGTACCACAAACAATGCTGCTCATGATTCATGCTTTGAGTTAAATTTACCGATCCTAGTAGAGAGTTCCACCACACTCCAGGAGTGGTTGCGGCGCTGCCCGATGATGAGATCCAGTTTGTGATCCCGAAGACCGTCCTCTAAAATATTCTGGACCGAGGGACACAAATGTTCCAGGACCAGACCGGCGATTGTGGGACTGCGAGAGCTGTTACCCAGACGCATCTGTCGCAGATAGAGAGAAATATAATACAGTATTATTATTCCTGCTGGCACAGCAGCTTTGTGACTTTAGTCCAAGAATGTAAGTAATATCCATTTGCACTTTTCCATTGTGACACATCTTTCAAGCTGCTTGGTTCTGCCAATTCATACCTTTTCGTCGGGGTCTCTGCTGCTGCCAAAATGAGCCATGATCAAATCCACCGCCCTGCTCACAGACCTCAGCAAACCTAGAGACAATGGATGTGGAAAAAGGTTATAATTAATGCTTCATACATTGTTAGGGCAGATACAAAACATTGATATATTAATATACACAGTACATGTTACATTGCAAATCCTCATCTTATGTAATTTCTGTGTATTATTGATTGCTGTATTATCGAAAGCTGAAACAACCCGCTAGTGTGGTGGGAGGATTTTAACTAACCTGTTTCCAGTAAATATCAAATTGTGTCTTGAAGCGATTTCCCTTGTTCTGTGTGTCTCGTCCAAAGATACTGACACTCATTTCTAGACAATTGTGATTTGCACTGGAAACAGGTTGAAATGGTGTTACTGCACTGGCAGATGATTTACTTGTTTCAAGAAAAAAAACACTCAATAAAAAAACAAAAAAATTACTCTATAAGATTTTCTTCTCACTAACTGGGTCAATGCATAGAAATACGAGAATGCTTTCAAGGTTCATTATCATACTGCAGGAATTCAAATGTGAATGAAAACTGAAGATAAATGAGTCAGTTTTCTATTTTAGAAATGATTCTGATTTACTTGCTTTCCCTCTGCCTTTCTTTTTCCTTCTCACACTGGCTAGCTTTTGCAAATGTCACAGTAAATTCTTTATGCATCTTGTTGCTGCCTGCAGTGCTGCACCACACTGACTGACACCACTGCTGAAAATGTCTCTATCATTGATTATCCATCGCAAAAGGTGTACATTTATATCATTTCATTCAGTGGCCCATACTCTAGCCCTAAAACAATATGATTGGGCTATTATAAATCATTAACACTGTTTCTACTGCATCATTCTCCCTCTCGCCCTCTCTTGGAGCTCGCAGTCGTACACACATAGGCTACGGAGCAAAAGGCTCGGCCAATCCCGTGCAGGGAGAGTTAAAAATAGGTCATGTTTGAGAGAAAGCCCCTTCAGGGTATTGAAGGCAGTGCTGCAGCACAGTGAGTTTTTGTTGCTGCTCTCAACATCTCATCACTGGATAGACAATCCAATCAAGGAGGAATCCAGTCATTACTGCCTCGGGGTCACTTTTTATTGCATTCAGATTTCAATATATGGCATATACTGTATTTATAGTATATAGTATCAGTCATTCATTGGCCTCACCTCTCCTCTGAAGATGGCTGATAGACATTGACTCATAAGATGTATCGGGTGAGAGGCAAAACTCTGTGGGCGGCCTGTCACTCAGGATCAGCGATTCACTGTGTTGATTCTGACTCGGCTTCCCACTGAGCCCTACAGGGTCCTGGATATGCTGTGGGTGCTGCCCAGAAGCAGCAAAGGATAGCAAAGAACTCAGAGAGGAGAGAGGCGCTATAGAGGAGAGGGCAGCTGTAAAACTACTGTTAAAAAAAAAGCCAGAGTCAGCAGGTCACCCGGTCCTGAGGGAACTCCTTTTCTGGTTGTAAGGTTGTGGAAGGAGACACAGACAACTGCAAATTTTGGTGATGGGTCTCAGTGGTTAGGGGTAAAGTGGGTGGTGTATGAGAGAAAACTGAATGGTAGGAAGTGTGGGTCTGTGAGTGATTGGGACAGTGGGGCTCAGTGTTGGCATGGCTCTGCTCAGGACTGAGGTTAATAAGGTCCTGGTAGGTGGGAATCTTAACAAGGTTAGACTGATTTGGGTCTGGGATCGGATTTAAAAAAGTGTTAGTCTGAGTTTTGCCAGAGTGTGGGCTTGTTTTATCTTGCATCTGAACCAGTCTGGGCTTTGGGCTGGTGTAAGGTGGACCCAGGCTGCTTTTTGATGTACATGGACTGGGGAGTCCTTGACTTCTGCTGGACCGGCTCCATGTATGTCTGCGGCTGAAGCACTCTGGACTCGGCGTGCAGGTGGAGCAGGTATCAGAGCTCGAAGGAGCCTCCAGAAAGATGGGGTAGTGGCTGCCCATTGGTGATAGCTGAAGATCAGAAAAGCCTTGACTCCGTTTGCCCTTGAACTTGAAGCCTGGCTGGGAGCTACCAGACTTGCTGCTCTTTTGATTCATGTACTGCTCCAGAAGACAGCCCAAGTGCTGGGCCTGGGGTTTGCCTGTGGGGACCAGAACAAAGGGCTGTATGGGCAGCGAGGTTGGTCTCTGGGCCTTACTGTAGCGCACCACTGCAGGTTCCAATGAACAGGCTCCTGAGATGGTGGTAGAGGATAAGAAAAATACTTGAAACAGATGTTTGATTCACTTCATACTTACCAAAATTGTATGTTCGCATTTTTTGCTCTCTCACTTTTAAAAGCAAACAACAAAGAATAAATCATATTTGTCACTTTACCCTTCTCACTGGCATCAGTATCACAGTGCTCCTGGTCTAGAATCACAGATGGCTGTGTGGTTGCAGCGCTTGTGCCTTGGCTTCCACTGCTATGTGGGCTACACTGGCTGGGGCACAGCAAACAAGGTGTATGAGAGGAGTTTTGGATGCTGTCTGTATGTTTCTTCCTGCAGAGGGCTTTCTCGGTGGAGGTGGTGGCAACCTGGTAATCATAGGTCTGAAACGGAGAGCAGTCAAACCCGGCGCTACACTGTGCAGGGGAGAACCTATTTTGCTTTTGTTGATCCTCTGTCTCCTAATGGTGACACAGAAAAGAGAGAACTGCTTAGGTTAACACAACCAAATCGCATATGCATTTTTATGCAAGATGTTTGCAAGATGACTTTATTCTTTTTGCATTTTCAATGTAAAAAATGTATCTATCTATATCATCTTATTCAGTACAAAGAGACGAGCTGTTGTATTCCCTTACCTTCTTAACTTCTTTGTTTTGTCCGTCTTTCCTATGATCTACAAAGAGGTGCTCAGAGGGAGGGAAGGGGCTAATTCTGCTCTGACCCTCTGGGCAACTGGTGAGGCTTGACCAGGCTGGGCTGGGTGACTGGGAGGAGAGGTCACAAGTCACGAGCTTGTAGTACTTCTGGTTGGTTCCAATGGCCAATGTGGCCTGGCTTTGGAGACAGGCAGTTAAGTCTGATACCTCCAGTGAGGAGAGACCCGGGGGTAGCGGCTCCAGGGAGTAAAGGTTGCAGTTAGAGTCGAGGCCCTGAGGAGACCAGCAGGAAGCAAAGGGTGTCATGTCATTCTCCTCCTTTGGGGAAGCATAAACTGCCATGTCCTCATGATGGAGGTCGTCGGCTGGAGTCTTGGGAACAGGTTGGAGGTTGAGGAACACGGATCCCTCAGATGACTGAGAGGGGTGAACAGCAGGACTGCTGAGGTCATGAGGCGTGGCAGGGTTGTTGCTCCGGTTATAGATAGTGCAGAAGTTAACTAAGACGCCGTCAGAGCTGTTACAGGAAGAGTCGCTGACATTCTCTGTGTGGCTGTTGGAGAACTGCTCTGGGGCACATTTGTGTTGGCTGTGGATGCAGCAGGACATTTTATCCTTCAGTCTGTCAGAGTCCTGCTCTCCATAAGCCATCACCGTGATGCCAGATCTGCCCACATGAAAGCACTGGCATTCAGTTTGCAGTAAGTCTGCCTGGTTAGGCTGGTTACAGAGCCACTCTTGGTCACTCTCACTGCCCAAAATGGTCCCTTCATTGCCCCATTCACTCTCCATGTCCCCGTAGGACATTGTATAATTTCTGGCACCATTACTTAGAGGCCAGTTAGAATTTCCATGCAGCACAAAAGATGAGTCCTCATGATATCTGTGTAGATTACCTCCTTCACTATCTTCATCTTCCTCATACTCATCTAGCTCTATGTTGGGAAGGAATGAGTTGTGTGACCGCAGAATGCCTCTAGCTCCAGAGCTTTCCTTCTTCAGATGGGAACTCATCTCCTCTGGTGACGAGGTGGAGTCGTACCTCCCGCTGCTATCACTGCCGCCCTCCTCCTCTGCCCGGTCCTCGTTGAGACTACTGTAGCTGCTGGAGAAATATCTGCGGCCACCGGTGAAGGCATGATCTCGGTTCAGCGACTCTTGTTCCGGGAGGGACACAGCTCGGGTCAGGCCCACTGAGCACAGCCGGCCGGGCCTCTTGGCTGAGCTGCACAGGGCCTGGACAGGAAGTTGCCAAGTGGGCAGCTGAACCACAGGGAAGTGGCACGCTATCAGGGTGTCCCCTGAGAGACCAGATGCTCCAATCATACTGCTGGATGAGGCTGGACCATGGAAACTGTCTCCATGTTCCTAAAATGTAATCCTGAAAGAATAGAATCACTTTGAAGTGCTGTGAATTTGCTTCGAATGTGGTATCAGTGGTGTCACAACTATGAAAGAGGATTCATACGAGAGTACAATGGTAGATCAATCAATCAATCATTTATTATTTGTCCTAAATCGGCAATTTTCGTTGCAGCAGGCATAGTAACACAACACACAAATAAAGGAAAATATGACTTGAACATACAATATAACACAGAAACAGAAACACACATACACACACTCATACACCGGATTCCTTACACCATGGAACGTTGGTCGTCCTAGCTAAAAACAAAGGCAGGCATTGATCTCATTATATGTGTGGATATACAATAATTCAATTCAGTTCAATATACATTAAACAATCAATTACTACCACTGCTACTGTGTATTCAGACAGAACATAGTTTGGTTGTCAAGGGTAATGAAAAATGGATTGAACTTACTTCATTAGAATATACTGAGAATTTAAAAATGCATTAAATAAGTCTTATAACTATTATGGCTCCTTGACACATTTCAAAAACTGTTCATGTAATAATAAAGTTGAACGGAGAAGTATTAGACTCTATAAGGGGTTCTGTAAGGTTATGTTTAGTCCAGGCCCATAAGAGTAGAGTTAAAGTTATGAAGCTTCTGAATTTGAGTGAAAATGTTTTCAATTGTGCACAGCTGGACCATAGAGACATTTGTATCTTTTTTGTTGGTGTCTGTATATGAAGTGTTTGTGCTGATCTCCCTGTGGATCCGCTTCTTGATTTTTCTCAGTTTCCCGGCCTTAGTGGCCTTTTTATTTGTAATGTTGCGACAAGCTTAAAGCCTCAGGGACCTAATTACAGATTTAAAAAACAAATCTTAAAATCTGGGGTAAAAGCATCCCAGCCGAATAGGAAAAAGATAAAAACATAAAGCACAACTGCAGGCAGAGTCTGCTCCCTCGCTTCACACCGCTGGTGCTTAAGTCAAAGTTCTACTCTACCGTCTGCTTCTGGCCCCTCAGCACAGCCTACCCTCCATAATTCAGTCTACCATTAACAAACTCCTCCTCTCTCTGCCTGGCCCAACCACAGTCTCTCACAGTTACTCAGCTGCTCTGTAACTAGGGCAGCTGCACTGCAGAGATGCTCCGCTGGCTCTGCTAAGAGTAAATACATTTTCACATCAGTTTAGTTAATTCAACGTGTCCTACTATATTCAGACGAGTTGCTCCTGATTTCACAGACTACAACATTCAAAGCTTTAAACAAAAGTCTAATCTATACAGAGGCAGCATAATAATAACCATCACCCCTTCATGAAATACAACTAGATGGAGTAACAAAGCATCTGCACATAAAATATCTAAACACTGGACACAGCTCATGATATTCAATCGCAGAGAAGTAGAAACTAAAGTGAGTTATAAGTTATAAGTAGCAATTAACGTTGCTAGGATACAAACACATACACACCAATTAACTGATATCTGCCCACAGCAGTGTTACATAGTCTTGGTGCTATGTTGTGAATTTAAACTGTGCTAAAAATCATGTTCAGAGAATTCAATATTTTAGACGCAACATCCGGTTTTGGGCTTTATGTCACACATCCAACAGCCATCAGTTGATAGATCACATTGCTGTGCCACTCTCTTGGCATAATGTGTAAACAACCATAAACAACATCTGTTGCAGATGACCATGAAGAGCTAATCCTCTTTATCATCACACCGCTACAATAAACAACATCCGTATGGCAACACATAGTAAACGCATCAAAATATGCTTATAAGCAGTAATGCCCTTTGATCAGAAATACCAGTTCTAATAAATTAGGTTAATCAATGTTTATGATACAATGCTAACACTAAAACAGAACCAATAGCTAAAACAGCACTTTAAATCATAGCCAAATTACACTTATTTTAAGTTCAACTTTCTATGCAACTGAATGTGCTATTATAGGCTGGCAGAGGGCTCTCTTCTTGCCTGTTAAAGCTGGTAGAATAAAGCTTACTGAACTATTGAACAAGCCGCTTAATAACAGGACAACATCATCTATTAGCCTCTGATTGTTGGCTGCTGCAGTAACTATTTCAAACCAGAAGAGTCTGCCTCTCTTCACCTCCATTTACCCAGTGATGGTGATTACTGGTTTGGAAGCTATGGGTCAAGATGTTCTGGGCTCAGCATTAGTATAAACATGCGGGGACAGTTTCAATCTAGTTCAGTGATCAATTTAAAAAATGGATGTGGCTTAGCTGGGGGCTTGGTGAACTTAATTCAAACAACAACATGAAAACAGAGCATTTTAAAAGACCTAATTCATAATTCTGTTCTGCAACACCAGAGCCAGTTTGTTATTTTGGCACACCCAAACTGTAGATTGCATACGTTTCATGTATTCTATTTCATGTCTAGTATTTCCAGATATGATCTAATGACATTGCATTATTTTATATTTAAATGTGATTACCCATGAATATTAAAAACAGACTATTGTTTGGCACCTAAAAACCAAACTCCACAGTGAAGCTCGGGAGGAAGAACAGGGGTTATATTGTCAGGTTGGTGTTTTGCCCTTGAGCAAGACACTAAATCCCCTGCTCCCACTGTATGTGTAGTGAGTGTATAGAAGAAATGTATGGAAATGCTTGTGGACGAAACAGTGTGATAATCATTTTTAGACAAAAAGACATTATCCCTACATAAGTAAATCTGTAAGAAGCAATTATACACAGCATAACAGAGTCATTTTAAATCACTATGTTGTCATTTGGTTATTAAGTTAATGTCTCTGGAAAAGTCATATGAGAGATAATATAATCCTTGAGGGGGCTGCATTGCATTGAGTCTTGGTTTATCCTGTCCCTGCTTATTTTCAACAGTTCAATACCACAGGAAAGTAGGCCAGTGTGACTGACTAGCTGTCTGCAGAGGACTAACAATTTCATTGCAAAGCAGACAGGACTCTAGTCTGTGCTCTGAGTACTGGAGCACACTGAGATTGTTGTAATTATCTGAACTATTTCACTAGAAATGTCTGTCAGGTCAAGTCGGCCATCTGATGAGGGACAGGACTGTGTGGTTCTGTTAAAAGCAAAAGAGTCTGAGGTCTCAGATGAAGATGCTTGTTATCAGTGATGTTGCTCTGTAATGAGGCATCATTACAGCTCAAATTGGTCTATACTCATGTCAGGGAAAGTTTCACTAAGAACTCCATACCAGTTCAACATGATGTTCACCTGAACATCTAAAGAGTAAAACATATTTATGGACAGAGAGAAGAGAAAGGTGATAGATGAGAACTGTACGATCTGGCGTTTGTGCGTGAGTGTTGGATTTCATTATGAAAAGGAAATACTTAAAGCGGCTACAGTAGGACATGTTAGACAGACAGCTGTACACACATGCCAAAGGAACCACACATGACAAGAGTCGCATATCACGCTCTCGCTCTCTCTCTCTCTTCCACACACACAATTACGCATGCAGACGCAGACAAGACTTAAACAGCAGATAAAGTGAGAGAAAAGACTCAAAACAGGATACAGCTGAATAAATGAATCCAAGGAAAAGCAGGTAAAGCACATAAAAATACAAGCTCTCATGCAAGTGCGGCACCACCGGCGACTCTCCTGATAAGCCTTTAATATTAACACCTACTTGAAAATAGTCGTCAGTCAAAGGTGACGATGTCCATCCTCTTCTTCCAGGTGACTCTTATTTGCAGGTGTCTCGCAAATACGTTAGGTCGAAAATATCATGCAACCAAACATTTTTTTTTTTTTTTTTAATCATGCGAGTGCTCGACGCACTTTTGACGTCAAAGGTACATTAGGAAGCGAACAGTTTCAGCTCTGTTCCATGGTATAAAAATAAATGTCTTATCCTGGGAATTTATAACTGTATCACTGGGTAATATGAAACCGGTCCGACACTGAGGTCCGGGTGGACACAGCGGTCCCCACGCCGCCGATTCAGCGCCGCTCAGCCTGGCTGAGATTTTACGTCACGGTGGCTTTAACCAATGGGCAGCGAGAAGTGCCTGCCACTCAAAGTTTCCAAGACATCTGGTAGGAAAGGGTTAATTATTAAAGCCTATAAATATTTTTTCTTTGAGCAATGATAAAAATAAACACAATAAACATCATCATCATCATCATCATCAAAAATAAACATCACGAGTATGCTTATTTTCGAGTTATAGCACAGTGCCTAAATTTACGACTTTGCATCTTGTAATAATGACTCACAAATATGAGATACTTTATCATTTGACATATAGCCTACTAAATAAAAACATACCCCTAATTAATTATACCGAATAAACACTATGGCCATAATTTTACTCATGAGAGATGTTTCCCAATCCTAACTTTTCATCCTTGTATTATCTGAAATGAGCATAATTTTATTTTCCACAATTCAGGAAAAGGGTTAGTAATCCCCACATAAGTAAAGAATAATTTGTGCATACATGTAGAACTAATCAGTGTTTGAATCCCCTCAATAATGGAAACATGATGCATAAAGTCACACTAGTGTAACTCTAAACTAAAAAATTGCGACCTTTGAAATTGTTGCTGTAATTATTTGTTTAGAAAAGGCTACAGTTTGACAAATGAGTTTCACAAATGTGCTGGTATCATTATGCATCTCACTAACGCTGAGTCAGATCGCCCTCTAGTGGCGTGAATGAGCAGTCAGCGTTCATCTGTTGGTGCATCCATTTTAAAGAATGGTCCTACTATGTACGGTGTGGTTCCCCCTATTATATAGTGTAGGTACGCTTTACATCTAAATCAATAATCCACATGGTCATAATGCTGTTCTGTGGGTACCAAAACGGCATCCTCCATAACCAACAGACAGGGGTTGCCTCCTCTTTCATAGAACATGATGCAAGCTCCCTGAAGTCATCTCCTACCACTGTATGTCATTTAGGTGCAGCTGTGTCTTCTTTATCATTCAGAGTAGGCCACACTATCCACTGGCTTCCCTCTACTTGAGCTGCTCCACAGCTGAGGGCCTTAATGTCTGTTTGAGACCTGAGAGCAACCCCACCTGAACGTGGGATATAATCCAGAGCCACTGTTAAATTGGTTAGAAATGTTATGCTTAACATAGACACAAAGTTTCTGCACGCTAACTAACTCCTTTTAACTTGGTACCGTTATACAGATCACATAAATACATTCTTCCATTCGGCCTCAAAGTTCCCCCTGCACTGGTTTCACCACATGTGCTCACACACACATACACCCCCACACTGTCATATCAGACATGCAGATCTCTTTGTTCTCTTTGTCTTAGCTTAGTGCATTTTAGTTAGTTTCTTCTTGTGTGTTTTGCTTTATTTACCTTGTAAATAAATGCTTGCATATACATGCTGGTTTCTTTTCATATTGCATAAGAATGACTATATTGTGAACCTCTGCAACGTACAATACCAAATCCTTCAACCCACTATATATTAATGGTAATTTTGTCATAGTTATTCATTTAATTATCAACCAAAGTTCCAAATTAACAGTTTAGTATATTTAATGATACTGAATTAGGTAATTGGCAAAATTGGTAAAATCAGTTCTCTTGTTTTAAGAGTGGTGCCCACAAGGTGAATATAACTTTAAGTTAAATTCTATTATTAATGGTAATAGCTATTGCATTATTTAATATAAATCGTGATGCCAGCTAAACCCTAATCCCCAACATTAACATGGTCAACAAATGTCACAATTCCCAAATTCCAGGACCTTTGACACTGTGACGACTGTCTCATTTTTCACGTGGAGTCCACACCTCCAGGTGTGTCCATATTTATGTATTTTAATTTGAATTTCAATATTTTTTGTTTCATCAGAGGAGCTTTTGATGGAAAAACAGCAATAAAGACTGAATAATAAATCAAAACATGCAAAGGCACTGAAACAAAGCTTGTCCCTTGGTCGATGAAGAGTTAGGAAGGAATCACAGGATTACATGGCCTTGGATGAGTTATTACAGAAAAATAATTTCAATTTTAAGAATCCCATTCATTTTTCCATTAACGTTTTATCATCTTTTCCATTGCATTGAAAGAGCAGAAGGAACTGTGTGAAACATCTGAATTTGTTCTGAACTTGTTGACAAACAACGTCTTGAAAAAAAATTAAATTATATTTGAATATTTACATAGTTAACATTATGTACAAATAAATATATAATGACATGAACCAATAAACTCAGAGCACCTCACAAACTTTGCATGAATATTTATATTTTCTAATTAAAAACATGTTTTACAGTTTGATGTCCTGTAAGTGTTTTAGACAAATAGAAATCAATATCACTATAGATAGAGATATTGACTGTTCATTTATGGCTTTGTTTTGCTGCAGTGCAGTGCCAGATCAGATTACTTTAACTGAATTTGTAAGTCTGATAAACGGCCAGCAGGTCTTCAATTCAGGCCAGAATATCAGAGCTGTCATTTCATGCAGCGTTCGTTTTGAAACAGGTCGCTTTGGTCCATAAGGAAGATGTTTGTTGTGTAGAGTCACCCTGAGGGAGTTACGTTTGTGTATCCCTTTGTCAGACGGATTTCCAGAAGGAACAGATATTTCTCCTGTGAAGATAAGGAGCAACTTTATTGCAATGTCATTACTTTCTGACTTTGTCCACAGCATGCAACATGCATGTGGAACTACACAAACACAATGCAGCAATATTATTTCAAATAGTCTGTGAAAACTACATAAAGGAACATTATGTCTATTTAATATCATGTATTGTCATTTAAAGCACACATCTGGTTTCACATTTATGACAAAACATTACAGATTTTAATGTCAAAAGCCCCTAAAGTAATAGGTGATACCTATCAGAAACACAATCAGACTGTTTTCTGTGAATGTAGGCTGATGTGTTTGATAATATTTCTGATGAATTAGGTTTCAAGATCTCTGAGCAGCTCTGCTGTACCTGCAGTATTTTGTGCCACACTCTAAGTCATCCCTGCAGCCGGCACCCACAGGCTTCATGCTGTTCCAGCGCCACAGAAGTGACCGTTTGGTCCGCTGGAGCAAACAATTCCAGTCTTCAGGGACAGGCAGTGAATCAACCTGTAGAGGCAAATATAAGACTGTGATGACTCTTACGTTGTATGGTGATAAAATCAAATTCTATCAAAAAGCCATGCTGTTCTCTATTAGCACAAAGGAAACTCTCCGGACATGAACAGTACCTGGTAATTGTTAACTGATAACTAACTTACCTGAATGGTGCAGATCAGAGACAGAAAAATGGAAAGCACAATGATTTTTTCCTGAAGAGTCCTCATTCTGTTTGCAGATCCAGACCAAGAGAGAAGCTGTTCTGTGCGTTATCTCACACCTGTATTAAAGGCTTTAAATGTGTTTGGGAGGAGTTACTCTTTGACAGATATTAAAGATTAATTTTCCAATTTGTTACTTGACTAATGACTAATGAGTAAGGCTGACCTCAAGTCAGAGCCAACAATGCAAACTTCTTTGCACAGTGAAACTTATCAGTTTTATAATGACAAACAAAGTCTATCTGTAGAGAGCCAAAGTACACTTTAACCCAGTAATTGAGGACAATTCCACGTCGGAGGGACCTAAGTGAAACCTTTACATCTGTTACAGACTGTAGAAATCTATCCACCAACCCATTTACTTCATCGCTGTAGTCTCCAGTAACCTCAGGATCTCCATGCTGAGATGTGACAGCTTACCTCTGTAGCTACATAAATGGTCCTTCTCTTAAACTAGCTTGAATTCTGAGAATGGCTGAGCATTTCTGGTCTCTTCTGTGGAGTCACTCCTGGTGCAGACTCAGCTCTCAGGGCAGCACCACTGTCAGGACAGAAAATACACACAAAAATTAGGTAAATAAATGACACTTTTTGCCTGTAATTTATATTTAATTAATTAGTCAACATTATAACATGAAAACTATTCATTCTTTATATGTAGCATATATATTTATTTTGCCTAGTCTAGCACATAACATTCGTATCTATGCCAGTGTAGCAACATATATGGATTGAGTAATTCTACTAGTAACAGACATGGACTCTGTCCATATAGTGTAGCAACATGTTTCTCAAAAGACACAGAGACACTTCTCATTCATAAAATCACTGAAGAATAATCTACTAAAGCATTTTACTGCAATCAGCTGAATTTAATAGGAAAAACAGACAACTGTGGTTATTTGATATGACTCAAGAAACTGATGTGTCTGCTTACACTGTAACCATTCAAGCAATATTGGCACACATGGAGGGCAGGAATAGTATATTAAGATCATATTTATTTTTAATCAAAGTGAAATATTAAGTGCCTCACTAAAAAAACAAAACAAAGCATTGCATGAAAAATACACAAACTTGACAAACACAGCATATCACAATAATAGTAACGTTAGTGCGCTACAACTTGTATTCAGAGTCATTAGTTGTTCCTTTTGGCATTCACAGAATGCCCATGGCTATCTGTAATTTCTTGACAAAACTTCCACATCTTCAAATCTCGTTGTAAAATACAAATTGGAATGGCTCCAAGATGGATTCCCTTTTATGTTCGACCATGCCTTCACTTGTTTCCTCAACCCACAGAGCTGTGCAGCCTCTTCCAGCTCCTCTTCCTGTTCCTCTTCCTCTTTGATTTATATTCTTTTGGAAGACAAATAACCAAACTGAGCATCAGCTATGACCTTACTAAACTCTTTACAAAAACGTTCAATGAAGGTCCACACACAATTACACATAAACAGTTAGCTTTGTTATACACAGAAAAATGCTAATCTTACCATAAAACTTGAGGAACAAACACCAGCCACACGTGTATGTAGGTGCTGGCATACATACACAGCCAACATGTGTAACATTAGGTGTGTGATTTAGATTTACACATATTGATGGCTGCAGCTATTTTGATGGTGAATAAATGCACGACGCATGCATTCAGACT